TCTATCGGCCTTGAATGATTATCTCCGAATTCGTCGAGCGAAAAGGTGAGTGTTTGTGGCGAAGGGCGACAAACCTCCCGACGAGCAGATAGACAAATTCCTTGTATGAAACAAAGCATCCTGCTCGAGCCCTACAGGAGTGTTGGTGTTGGACAAGGCCTAATGTCCTTACTCCCTTGTCGTGGTATCTCATCAAATACCGAGCAAAGGCTCACCATGGAGACGGAGTGATTGTGGTTGGTGTCTTTAAAGAGGTAGAAGGATATAAGGCAGTTGGATTGATGTTCATAACACGTTCGTACCGGTGACGTATCATCATCTGCTTCGTGGGCTTAACCACCCGTTTGTGTCACACTGTTCGTCATCGCCGTGTACACCATGATCTACTGAGATAAGATTGTAATACTTTAGCTCGGAGAATCAACTATCGCTGACATTGATTAGCAACACTGGTCTGGTAGATAAATGTATTCATGAAATATCACTCGCAAAGTGATGGTAACTACTCTAATGAATAGTTGGGAGATAAAGTCTTGAGTCGCCTGCATTTTGCTCTAGACAAATCTTACTATTTTACGCTTTAGGTTCAGTGTGAAGGCTGAGAAAAGCGGATAGTGGAATTCAAAAGAATCTTTCGACCAGCTCAGGGGAGTTACTTATCTTGAATAACCCTGACCGAGGGACTGGCCGGGAGATTAATGGGTGATCTTCGGCCAGATAAGACTAACTCAGGTGGTGTGGATAACATATGTACATGTATGTACTCAGCTCCATTTCTCCGCGCAGTATGTTTTTGGACCGGCTAGATCAAGTCAAAGACAAATTCCAAACTGCGAGGTTGACTGCATACAGCCCCCCGCAAAACAAAAACAAAAACAAAATTGATGATGTCGTCAGTTGGGATTTGAACCCAAGATCTCCTCACAGCACTAACACCTACAAGCTGGGTTTCGGTATGTTTAACCACTACACTACTAGACGATTGCTTATAAGTGCTATATACCAGACCTTAAACCCACATTAGCGCTAGTTACCCATAGACAGAAACGGGCCGCGTCACACAGTACATGCACCAACACTCTGCTGCTACCTTAGATGTAATACATGTAGGCTTACGTATGCTAGTACTTCTATTGTTCTACTCGGGGTAGTCATGGACATGTGCCGGGCATCTTATCTAACCCACAGCATTTCAGCCATAAGTTGGAGTAGATTCTTAGGAATCAAGTCAGATACTCGCCACAGATACACGTGGTATACTTTTCTCTTGTCCATCCCCTACAAGTGCTGCTTACGTGCACCGCCTCTGGCAAGAGGCTGGGCACAAGCCTATACTCGGGGTACTTAGTGGTAAGGGAGACCATGACTTCCGATGATACTAAACGACCTCCCACTCGCGGCTAGCTGGTGAAAAACTACCCAAACTGAGCCTCGGATCCCAACTTGTATTTTATTGTTCTTACTAATTAATTAACTACCTGTCCCCAGTGCTAAGTTTTTCCAATGGGCTCCCTAGTAAGGCTATCCAGATTGCCAGAACAAAATTAGTTTGAAGTTTCGTAGATCGCACAAGTGTATTTGTGTGTGAGTTTCCTCAGGCCAAGTTTTATGAAGCGGCTGTAAGATCTTGTCTCGAACAGCTCAACAACAAATGTCGTAGGTGTTACTTGTAGTGATAAAATGGCTCATGTACATGTAGTTCTCCCCCAATCTGATCTCCTACTATGTCGGCAGTATATAAACCTTAACCGTTATTACAAGTTTATCTGGCAGCATTTGAATAGCTAGATACGGAAACAGGTAATATTGTGGATCATAGTATATCACTCGATTTAGTTTAGTGTTTTTTTCTTTCTTTCTTTTCAACTCGTTGATCGGTTTTAGTGCGGTCTACAAAGCTTGATAAGTAGTAGTCTTTTATACTCGCATGCGCAGGTCTGATTGGTTGGTTGGTTGATCGGTAGCTCTGGTCTACGAGGTTGTGAATGCTCAATGCGAGTAGAGATAAGTATCTCTGCCTCGTATGATCTATGTCTTTGCTTTCTTTTCCAAAGAGATGCAATGCCCTAAGGCAGATCATTACTATATGTATATTGAGACCTATCAAAACCGATTTAGATTCTGACGATACTGAACTGGGGAATCCGGTAATAGTAGTACACCTTCTAATACTTCTATAGGAAATATCGATTCTACTGGATACATGCCACCAATACTACATGTACTATGATTATCCAAGCCTCGAACAGGCTAAGCCAGTGTAGTCTACAAACCGAGTCCGCTCGAGTTCACATCCCGAGCTTTATTCCCTAGAAGGGTCGAGCATGAGGAGTCGCGGGGCGAGCTTTCCAAAGTAATTTATAAAAGGTTGTTCGAGTTTTCTACTTTGCCTTATCATGTCAGGGTAATAAAAAACATATTGGAAAGCCCGAGTTCCGACACATACGAGTAGAACTGATCCCATGGGTCGGCCCTATCGTACATTTGAGCACGGTTTAGTTTAACGGTAAAACACCACAATGCCACTGCTTTTTGTCAAATATATTTAGGGTGCCATGCATGGCAACCAGTGCATACAACAAAGCTCAAACTCTAACCCCAACTAACCAACTCCAACTGATTTAACACTATAGAGTTTACAGTCTTCTATATACTGTCAGCAATAAAAATAACACCGTAAAGCCTATAGTCTTCCATACAGTACAAGTATGAAACTGCAGACCGTAGCCACTACGGTCTACAGTTTAACACAAGCAATGAAAGTAACACCGTAGAGGTTACGGTGTTACATATAGGGTTGGTGCTGAAAACAACACCGTAGATTCTACTTGGGGCAGGCAGGAAGAACCTGAAAATGACTTTTAATGGTAACGACCTCTGATTCGCCGCTGGCAAAAAGCTACACCAAATTGAGCCCCTACTTGCAGCTTACATTTTCAGGTTCTTCTTGCCTGCCCCGTGTATGGTCAACCGTGTAACATGACTAGTCCCGATTAAGTAAAGTTATTGGCAACCAGTGCATAGACGCCTTCCCGGGCCATTCGAACACCCCCCTCACTCGAACAGTTGATGCTTATTGGTGGAGAAGCCCAATTCAAGAGGTACAGAAACCGGTTACAGCGCAGATATTTTCTTTTTTAAGTTAACTGTTCGAGTGAGGGGGGTGTTCGAGTGGCCCGGGAAGGCGTCTACACCAAAAATCTCATGACTTCACTATCAATAGAAATTTTAAAATAAAAACAGCTTCAGATTTAATGACCTACACCTGTTAAAATCATCTGGGGAAACTCTGTGATTTTTAACTAGTGTTTTGGGGAATGCACTAATGGCAGCCAATATATTTTCCTCCTTGAGTATAGCTCCCAAATGTGGAGTGAGAAAGAACACCCCAAAGCCGAACTTCTTTTCTTCTTGTTATTTCACAGTTTTCGCCATGAGGCCTAGGTCTCTGTTGACATTTATGGTTTCCATTATACCCAAGCTGATATATGTCACAAAAAGTCCATGGCATTGTGATCTTTTACCGTCAGTCTAAACTACAGATTTAACCCCGAAAATGGTTTAATTCAAACCACAGCGGTGATATGGGCCGCGCGCGGTCACGCGATCTTATCTAAACCAAACCCCGCCGCGGTTTGGTTTGTGGTTTAAGCTACGAGTGTTCTGTCCTTTAAGTTGGCCCGCGTCGGGTGGTGGTTTGAATTAACCCACAGATTGTGGTTTGAATTAAAACCCAACCACGAAATCGAAAAACTTTCAACCACAAACATGGTTCAAACCAACACAAAAGATTCCAAACGACACATTTTTTTTAGTAGACGCTGTGTTCTACAATAACATACCATACAAGACAACACAGTTCGCTATGGATGGCCGACTCGGCACCGAAGGGTCAGGGCCCGTTCCGCTCCATCTCAGCACACCACCAAAGCCCAGCCCAGCCCAGCCCAAATACCACCTCCACCTCAACACCAACATGGGCGGGTGGTCTAGTGGCTAGACTGCAAAATTAATCAGGAGGATGTATATTTTTACTATTGATTTCTCTAGACCAGGAAGAAGGGATGAGTGCCCGGGAATCGACCCTTAATTATTACTTACTGGCCTTCAATTTGTCCGATGTGTTTGAACTTTTGTACTCTCGGCGTATACGCACGAGGTTGAGTACATGTAGACTTTCAACCCCGTTATTTCATTCAATTGCGTCTTTAAAACCACGACACGGCCCGAACAAAACCACATTACAATTGATGAGATTATCTGTACCACCCAGCCCGGGGGCCGCGGGGTCAAGCACTGCCCACTAGAGCAAGCCTCCTAATTAGATGTAGATAGATGGATGCTGGTTATGTGTGGTGGGGCCGGACTCATTGACCAGACCACCCGGAGCAGGAGTATGTGGCGTTGGTTGGGCTTGAGCTTGAGCAGAGCTCTCTCGATCACGAGCTGCTGGTCTCGAGATAGAGGCCTTGAGCGTTAATGCTTTCTGGATTACGTATATACACTAGCTATACATATTTATAGCCATGCACAAAAGATTAAGATACACCACTCCACCGGAGACGAACCAGTCTCACCACCGACATGCGAGGTTCGGGCGCATCAATGAATTACCAGGTGATTGATTGCGGTTCAAGGCGCATAAGCTTTTCTAAAAAAAGAGGTTCGAGTGCTAGAAGTCTAATACCGAGTGATGGGCTGTGGTTCGATTATGAAACCATTCGTATTTTGGGCTAACAATTCGATAACACAGCAACACCATATCTACAGCGCCACCAAAGGTCACGTTTACGTACAAAGAGGACATCAAGCCTGTCCCACGATTTATATTTAGACCTTATTACTTGTATCTCAGGCCATTTAATACCAAATCATAAATAAACCAAAAAGAAAAAACAAACCACAAATTACATATACTTTTAACCGCCGCCACCCGCAGTCCCCTCACCCACATCCAAAAAGCGCAGAGAAAACACAAAACCCGCCCCAACACACAACACCTACTCCATACGCACATCGACATCCACCACCACGCCTCTCCGCGCACCATGCGCCGCGGGCGGCGGCCTCCGTCGACCCGCCTCACCACTCCCCCTCCCCAACACGCTCGTACTCCTCTCAACCAGTAGCTCCACCACCGCATCCTCGCCCCTCGCCGCCGCCAACGCTAGTGCCGTCTTCCCCTCCGCCACCACGCTCCCATCCGCCCCGCTCTCCAACAACACCCTCACAATATCCACCATCCCAAACAGCGCCGCCCAGTGCAGCGGCGTCCTCCCATCCACATCCCTCACATTCACATCCACGCCCTGCTCCAATATCATCTTCAACACATCCTCATGCCCATTCTTGACCGCCCACAGCAACAGCTGCCCGTCCAGCGTGTGCGACGAATACCTGCTCGCCCCCCTCGACAGCAGCACGCGGATCGTCGCCTCAAACTCGGCCTCCGGCGACCCAGCCCCTGCCGCCCCCGCCCCAAGCGCAGCGCTATCAATCGGCGTGTACCCCGTAAAGTCGCGCTCCGTCAGCTCCGCCCCGTGCTGCAGCAGCATCTCACAGATCTTTGGATCCGTGCCCCGCGCCGCCGCCATGTGCAGCGGCGTCTTCCCGAGCCCGTCCCTGGCGGCGATGTCTGCGCCGTGGCGCAGCAGCGTGTCCACGAGCGCCGCTGTGCCGCGCTCAGATGCCACATGCAGTGGCGTCTGGCCGCCAGAGTTGACGGCGTTGCGGGGCGCGCCAAAGGCGAGAAGGCGGTCGGCAACGTCCGGTGCGGTCTCGGCCGTGTTGGCCGCGATGGCATGCAGCGGCGTGCGTCTGCCGCGTCGGGTTGCAAGGCCCGTGCTGGCGCCGCGGGAGAGCAGTAGCTGCGCGATCGCAGACGACGGGTTGTTGGCTGCGCAGCACTGGTACAGGGGTGTTTCGCCGTCGTCGTTGCAGGCGTCGATGGGGATTTCTGCGCGGTCGAGGAGTAGCTGCACGGTTGGTTTGTGGCCGGCGGCGGCGGCGGCGTGGAGGATTGTGTTGGAGCGCTGGTCACGGACCTCGGCCGTGGTGTTGGCGTGAGAGAAGAGGAGGGGGACAAGGGCTGTGGGCTTGCGGCCGGAGATGGCGGAGAAGATGACGGGGGGGGAGCCGGAGGAGGCGGAGACGCCGTCCGCGAGAAGGAACTGGGCGAGGCCTTTGTGCCCGCGCTGGCAGGCCCATTGCAGGGCGGTGAGGCCATCCTTGTCTTGGTGGGCGAGCTCGTGGAGGATGGGGAGGAGGAGGTGGTGGAAGCGGTGGCAGGTCTGGAGCAGATGATAAATGTCGCGGGGGTTGGTGATGGTCTGAATGATGCTGAAGAGCAATTCGTTGGGAAGGGCGAGGAGAGACATCTTTTGGGGGGTGGATCAATTGGTGGTTGTAGTTGTAGTTGTAGTTGCTGTTGAGATGTCTCAATATATGTGAATATCGATATCTCTTGTGCGAAGTGAAGTTGCCAGGGTGGCGGTGCCAAGAGGGCGATCACTGTCTGCACAATCCATCACTCGGCCTTGGCATAGTGTCTCTTTGTGACTGGTTGATCATTGGCCCCCCCCCCCCCCCCTTCCTTACATAATCCAATTCCAAGCAGGGATTGATCGTTCGCTTGTCTTACTCTGTTTGAGCAGACAGGCGCCCGGTCTGTGTGCATGTGCTCTAAACTCAGGTCCTACACCGAGAGAGATCAGCAAACAAGCATCAGCCTTCGAGAAGAAGGGGAAACACTACCCTGCAACCCGGCGACTCGATGCTTGGAAACCTTAATTTGGAAAGAACATGGATCAACCATCTTTGGTTACTGTTGACGAGACGGGCGTTGGTTGAAATAGCTGAAAGTACATGTAGAAATGCGGGGCAGAGGCTAGATAACATAGAGGTCAGTAGATGCAGTATTACTCTGAGCAAAGTATAGATTCTGCTCCTACGTAAACCATCCCTTAAGCCCTCCCAAGCCCCACTACTTTTCAAGCCCATTCCTAGACTCAAGCAGGAAAAGGAGAGGTACCGTAGCTGGTTGATCTGGAGATACCCAAAGCGGTGTTAGCGGTAATACTGCTGCCCACCATGGCTAAACACTCGCACCTTGAAAACAGAGGAAGGGACAGAAGTAAAGCACCAATCCCGCTCGAGTCACAAGCCTGGGTGATGAAATTGGTGATGATGATGGTGATGATGAAGTGAAAGGAAAGGAAAAAAAGGCAGACGAAAACGCACTACACCACATGTACCAAGGACACAGTACTCGCCACGATCTATCCTTCGACCCTCCGGCTATCTGCCCGCGATCGAGCTAGTCAACTTCACCTAGTACCATCACAGGCACTCTACACCCGCGTACATCCCATCCCAGCCAACTCCAAAGACGTTTCTGGGTGCGCGACAAACCCGGCTCGATAAATAAACCACAAAAACGCACCGGGCCGATCGCCATTCGTCCTTGAGCATGAGCCGGCGCGGGTACGTTCACCACCGACCCAGAAACGACACGTGCACATGCACACCGTACCACAAAACCCAAGCCTTTAACCCCTCCCCTGTCCTGCCTTACAACATACACGCTTACCAGCGTAGGGACCAGGGGGTGCAGTTGCTCAGGGCAAGGATAATTTGTATGGAGTGGCGTCGTTCTCTCATACAAATAATCCCTGTTTCCGTTACTTGGTTCTTTTGAGGGTAAGCTGTACATGTAGCTACCACCCCACACCGGAAAAAAACTAGTACTAGGATTGCAATTGATCTCGCGATAAGATAAGCGACCCTACAATCAATACCCCCCGCAACCACAACCACAACCACAACCACAACAACAACCTAGCTGACCGGACCTCCACCGAAACCCACACCACAACAAAGATATATTCCACCGCGTACAGATAATCAATGGAGCTATTTTCAGCTGGCCGACCGGTTTAGGGCGGAGTGGGCGGGGCGTGGGACGGATTGCCTACATATATGCTCCCCATCCTCCGCTCCACCTCGTCCTACTTCTTCTTCTGTTAAACTAACCAGTACGTTACTAGCTAGCTAGTCTATCTAAGCTACTGCGAGGTCCCTCTCGCCATCCACTCCTTTTTTTTTTCTTTTTTTCGTTTGTTCTGAATCACAGTCGCTCTTTATTAAGCCCACCAGCAGGCTGGTTCCACACACCTTGGTCGATCCAAGATACATTCAAAATGCAGCAACGACTCACCTTCCTCCCGCTCTTGCTCCTGCTGCTACTCCCCTACTCCGGTGCTCTCGCTCCCGCTCCACATGCGACCCTGACTCCAACGGCAATAGTTAAGCGCGCACCGCTACCAGGTCCTTCTCCTCCGCCTCCACCGCCGCCGCCGCCGGGTGCGCCTCCAGGACCACCACCTCCTGTTCCATCACCACCGCCAGGGCCACCTGGAGGGCCGCCAGGGGGACCACCGGGAGGACCACCAGGAGGACCACCAGGAGGACCGCCAGGAGGACCGCCAGGAGGGCCGCCCGGAGGACCACCAGGGGGACCGCCCGGAGCACCACCAGGGGGACCACCGGGAGGGCCACCAGGGCCACCAGGGGGCCCAACAGTAACCCACACTGTCACCAGCACCGCACTCACCACAAACACAAAATGGGTGACCTCCACTACCGCTACTACGGCAACCTCCACGGCAACCTCCACGGCCCCTACAGCGGCGCCGCAGAAGAAGAAGCCGAACGCGATCCAGAAGATCTTCAAGAATATCTTCGGGAAGAAGAAGGACGATAAGAAGAAGAAAGAGGACAAGAAGAAGAAGAAGAAGAAGCAGAACAAGAAGAACAAGGGCAAGAAGATCCAGGTCATCAAGCCCACGACTACCACAAAGACAGAGACAATCACCACAAAGATCAACGGCAAGGACACCACCCAGACACGCACCACCACCATGACGCTCCCCACAAGGACCGTCCGAAAGCTCATCTACACAACCACAATCAAGCACCAGCGCCCCAACGGCAAGAACATCATCCGCACCGTGACCAAGCTCGTGACCGAGAACCCAAAGCCCAAGCCAACCAAGCGGCCCAAGAAGATCATAAAGAACATCAAGAAGGTTGTCAAAAAGATCAAGAAGGCCGCGGCCAAGAAGAAGAATAACGCGAAGCCAACGACGCAGACAATCACGAGTAGGATCGTCACCACCGTTCAGCCGACGCGGCCGGGGATGGGGGCCGTTGTGATGACGGTCGTGAAGACGATCACCACGACGCGGAACCCCACGGCGGCGAAGAAGGGGCCCAGCATGACGACGAGAGTCATCACGACGACGGTCAAGCCGCGGAAGAAGGGGGAGACGGCGGTCGTGAAGACGATCACGCGGATTAGCAGGGTGGGCAAGACGAAGAAGAAGGTGGGCAAGATTGTGAAGTTGATACGGAAGAAGAAGGCGAAGAAGGCGAAGAAGAAGGCGGACAAGGCGAAGAAGAAGGCGGAGGAGGCGAAGAGGAAGGCGGATGAGAAGAAGAGGAAGGAGGAGGAGGCGAAGAGGAAGGCGGAGGGGTCAAAGACCACTTCAACTACTTCGTCGAGTACGACGTCAACCTCGACTAACTCGTCGTCGACGACTACTACAACGTCCTCGACTACTTCTTCGTCGAGTACGACTACGACGTCGAAGCCAAGTACAACAACGAGCGCTTCCACGACGTCCTCGACAACTAGCACTTCTACAACCACCTCGAGCACTACATCCAAAAAATAGATGCTCTAGATGGGCATGCTACGACACGAATTTCGTTTTCTTCTTGAGCTAGCGGGGCCATGGTTAAAAACGGATCTCTTCTTTCCCCTTTTTTTCTCTTTTTTTCTGGGGGGGACTAGGGAGCATGTTTGATAGGAGTTTTGGGCGTTTTTCCTCTTCTTTTTTTTCTTTTTCTTTCTTTCTTCCAGGTGGATTTGCATTCAATTCTTTGTTTATTAGATTGGCAGGAGAACGGTTCATGCTATAGTTATGAAAATATATTTGACAAGTAAGCACATAGATATCCGAAGCGCGGAAGATGTAGTTGTTAAAGACCACACGATGCAATTGTGATGCTGTAGAAAAAGTGCCTTGATACGTGTACCAGCCAACCAGTAAAAGTCTCGCTCTAGAGTCTGATGTTGATGCGTATATAATCAACCATCTAAGTAAGGAATATAACAATCCCCTTAGCTACTATAGTTCACGAGGTAATGGATAACAGCAAAGAGAAACAGTCTCTAATTGGCCAAAAGAAAAAAACCCTAGGCCCTGTCAGTCAACACCTAGTGCACCCCGTCAAACAACCAGTGAATAATACATGTAGTTAGCACCCTTACCCCTATCCCTATCACTGCTCTAGCTCGAGTGCACGCAGAACTTAATGTATGTGCCTCCAATTAGAGAAAGGGGAGCGTTTAACCAGGTGGCCTATATAACGACATAATATACTTATAATGCAGGCTCGGTGGGAGTTGCATGGGTAACGTTACACAGTGAGATTTCGAGATGTGAATAAAACTGACTGACTCCCCCCGCCCCTCTTTCACAAAGACCCGCAACGAAGTTCTGCCATTTTGCTCTACTAACTATCCTGAGACACACACCACACACACCACACAGCAATAATTGTCTTACCCTAGCTGCAGACCAAGGGAAATCGAACATGGATCCTACTAATCGGTAGGAATTACTTTTTTTTTTAAAACGCTAGTCTGTGGCGCCATGGCGGTATAAGTCGCTACTCGCCAGAGGAGCTTCAATCCTGGAACCTGCTAGACGAGCCATTGGCCTTTCCGTCCAAAGAGCCGCAGGCACACCCTATTACTTGCAGCGGGAAGTGCAAAGGAGATCTATCGTAACCCCCCTTTCCCCCCCCCGGGCCCTCACTCCCCCTCCCCCTTCTTCTTCTTAATACTGCCATATACTAACCTCCACCGCCGTGCGTATGTAGTGGTCCCCACACGTGCACGCGCGACAACAAGAGACGCCTTGCAATCACCTGCCGCAGCGGCAACTGCACCGCAAAGTTCACCAACAAGTGCGGCTTCAACCGCCACTGCCGGTCCGTCCACGGGCTCGGAGGGCTAGTTGACTGCGAGTTCGCTGGGTGTAATAGAGTTGGTGGTGAGGGGTTCTCGCGGAGGGATAACATGCTGCAGCATATGAGGGAAAAGCATGGTGCGGGAGGTAGTGACTTGAGGTTTGTGGTGAGGGCCCAGTGAGGGGCTTTGAGAGGGTTCGCCGTGAGGTTTAGTACTTGGGGGTTGGGTGGTTTGCACAGTGCTTCCGGAGGTATTGTGTAGTTCGGCTTGGTTGTTGTCTGTCAGCTCTCTCTCTCTTGTTTTTCCTTTCCGTGGGTACTCTTTTGTTATTCTTTATTACGTGCAATCTCTTCTCGATACTTTCTCTTATTTTTCCTTGGTTCTCTTATCTCGTCTTTGCCCTACATTTCCTTAGTTCTCTTGTCTCTCACTTCTATGCCTTACTTCTCCTTGGTCCTTGGTCCTCCTATCTCTCAAAAACAAAACAAAACAACAGTCGTTACCTCATGCCACCAGCTCATACCACTCCATGGCCGGCCATGCATAAGAAGCCTCAAACTTCCTCTCCAAGCTACCAATAATGAATCAAGAGTGAATTCAGCCCACAGTGTCCATGATGGTATTTACGCATCTGCTGAGTAACATTTGGCATCAGTAGATAGAAACTGGTGCTAGATCATAGTGCTTTGTTGCTGCGCGTGCGTCAAAGAACAAATCCGTGCTTATCCACAGTCAATGTTCGATTCCCAAGCGTGTGTCTATCTCTTCATATCAATAGACGCAGTATAAGCAATTCGACCAATTCAAGTTGCCAAGATTACGATAATATAATCCCATATAGAAACAAAAACTGAATTTTGTAGGAAGGCAAATATATATATTAATATGGGGTACTAAATTAAAGAGATCTGGGGTATGTAGTACAGGAAGTGGTTAACCACCGCCTCAATGGGGCTGGACAGTCTACTCCCATAGGCCAAAACTACGAGCTAATGCAGGAGGGGAAAATGTAACGTTACACAAATGCTCAGTGTGGCGTAGATATTAAATATTGTTATCCCTAACGAATAAGCCCATGGGTTTAAAGCAAAGCAGTGGTAGAAAAGAAGGGAAATGACGCTTGCTGGTTGGCTCAAGTCACCTTTTCCACTTGTTCTTTTCTCCTACGACTTCGCCAAATTGAGTCTGTGGACTTATTCGCCAGGGCTGATGGTAGGTGGGCGCAGATGCCGCTGCCAGCTCAGAAGAAATTCGAGTAGAACATAAATTGGGCCCATTCCCACACCCTCTTTCACAAAGAACTCACACGAAGTACTGCCAAATTTTTCAACATCCAGCTACGACTAATCAATTAACCTAGCCCACTGCATAACATCTGATATGTCACACGTACACCCACTTTACCTCATTGGTCCTGCCCCATGTCTCATGCAGACACGGGGGAGACCAATCGGTAGGTCTTTTTTTTTGACCCAAAACTAATTTAACGAATAGTAAGCATAAGATAAATCCCATATCACACACAATTCGTTCAGCCCTACTAGCAGCAGAATTGGCCTATGAGATTGACAGCCTATTGGATCTGTCTAAAAATGTACACCTCGATGTACCTGACGATATTTCCGAACAATCTAATGCGCCTAAAAAAGTGGATCTACTCGATGTATGCGTGCTTGAGAAGTCTAATATTTGCTATAAATCTAAACTTCTCTCGTGGGATCTACTGTCCGAGTCGCTTTGTCCAAAGAACACTATCAATCCAGTACTCGAACAATTAAACCGCTCAAGCTCGGAAGATGACCAACAGCCGGGTGGAACCATCACTGTGCCCTCTGTGCTCGAGTACCAGTTTACCCCTCAAGCCCAAGCCTGCTGTGACGGGAATTGCAATGGAGGCTTGATGTACCTTCCCTCCCTTCCCTTCTCCCTATATACTCCCAGATACCCCTTCATCCGTATGCTAAAAACATGGTGCTCCACAGTGGCCCTCACGCATGCAAACGTGACGGGAAGGCTCTTCGTATTACCTGTCGTAGCAAATCTTGCACGGCTGGATTCACTACCAAGCATGGCTTCAACCGTCACTGTCAATCGGTGCATAAGCTCGGGAAGCCCATCGATTGCGAAGTCCCTGGGTGTAATGAAGTGTTTACACGTAAGGTCAACATGATTCAGCATTTGCGGACTGTTCACGAAGCCTATGTTCCGATTAAGAAGTATCGGATGAAGGGACAGGCACGGGGCTATGGTCATTGATGTAGCTGTTTCGTGAGAAATCTCGCCTGCAGGACCTTTTAAATGTCCCTTGGCTTTTAGCCACGATTTGTTCTTGATTATTTCTTAGCTCTTTGATTCTCTTTCTCTATGTTTTATTCCACTGGCATCACTGGCTTGCTATTTCATTTAGTATTTTACTATCCACTTTCTCTTATCTCTTCTCTTATTAGTATTCTCTTCTACTTCTCTACGAATTTTACTATGTTTTTCTCGCCTCATATTCCTCAAGTGATTACGTCCTTTATGCTTGCCCTATAACGTTGATTATATTGTAAGACTGAAGCCTTTACGGATTGTGGGTATTGGCGTAGCCCCCAATCTTTGTTACATGCACCTAATGCCCCTGTTCAAGTGCTTCCACTACACGTAGATTAGTAGATTACTAAACAAACCGAGGATTTACCTTGGGTACCTGTAGCACCTCTTACTAATATATGCTCCCTGCCTCTGGATGCAGGTACACGAAGTAATAGCTTTATCCACTGGTCGAGAATAGTGTGGGACAACTGATTCGGCAAAGAAGATTTTCGAGGTACATAACTCAGTACATACATGCAAATTTACAACCACCATTCGATAAGACTGAATCTGCCAGTCAACTATTCTTTTATCAACCTCACACCGGCCCCTGTGACGGATTTGAGGTGAATCTGATAAGCACGAGGTCGGTTACCCGAGGTTGCTATCTCATCTGAGAACGCAAGTATCTTACGGTAATCTCTAAGACTCAAGCACGCAGCTGGGGACACGCATCGATATCTTTGAGAACAGGAGACATGTGGCTTAACTAGCGTGTGTAACTGGTACTGTGGCTCGAAATAAGCCTTGGCATTTATGTAATGATGGGAGCACACTACGTGCTAATCGACCGGTGCTTCCTACTCATGACGTGGGAATCGATCAATTGAAGGTAAGCCGGAAGAGTGTTTAATTCAATAAATCCAATAACCCCCAACTGAATTCGGTGTGTAGCTTTGGTCTTATTTCAAATAGTGTCGGAATCGAGTGATCATGTATGATCGGGAATGGAACCACGAGGCCCGTGTAACACCAGTTGACAACAGCTGGCAAAGCCCAATCAACCCAGGGGATCTATGCAGACTCGAGGAGCTAAGACAACTCTCATACATACATGTAGTGCCGTGAGCACAATCCAGGAATCGATGGGGGAAAGAGCCCCACAGATATATATACCTTGAGGGGTAGATCTAGAGTCTTAAGATATTTTGGCTGACTTCTTAAGCCTCGGACTATGGAACTCAAACCCCCGTTTGAATGCATCCAGTATCCACTACAGTACTTACTCCCATCAGACACAGCTGGATACGCTTCTCACTAGAAGACATAACCAGCAAGGAAGTAGATTCACTTGCTCTGGTAGTCGACCACAATATTGATTACGATTTCATCTAAGTTTTCTCCGGCGTGCCAACGACTGGCCAAGCTAATTTCAATTGAGAAACCGATATCATAATCGAGTGATATTTGGTGATCAAGGCTGCACTTTCAATTCACTGTGTTGTGTCACCAGTTGTCTATACCAATGAACTATATTGGCGCCAATGAACTTCGTTATATTTATGCGGGACAAATAAACCCTGCCAGGCTCGGTGCTAAAGATGCAACTTTACACGAAGGGGCCTGGATGTGGATAAAGTTGGGACTATCTCCTTTCCTCTCTTTCACAAAACTTCACACGAAGTGCTGCTATTTTTAAATATCGGCCCGGCTACAACTACCTTGCACACAATATCTAACATCTTGTTGGTCTTCCTTGTCTCAGCGACATGGAGATCAATTGGTAATTTTTTTTTTTTAGTTTTCATTACTGAAATAGGCAATAGGCGTCGGCTCAATTTCGCCGATGAGATCGAGATCCATCTCTATGACGGTACTGGTCAATACCCCGGGCTGCAGGACTTGGCCGAAGACACTACTGCGTTTGGGCACACACCTAAATTATTCTCGAATGAGGCCCATGAGTCTGAACACGGATTTAAAGACTTTGATTTACCTGAACCGCAGTCTGATATCTCCTATACATTCGAGGAACTTTCTTCGTGGGATCTACTATCCGAACCATCTGATCCATACGCACCAATCATTTCGCCCAGAGAGTTAATTCAATCTTCGCCGGCCCCCAACACCCCCGGACAGGATCTCCAAGTCCCAGTCCCAGCACCGGACACTGAAATAGCTCTCGCGGTCGGTAGCGCACTATCTCTCCCTGGCAATCTTTGCAATGGGAAATGTAAAGGGGATCTATCGTATGTTGTCTTTCCGATAAATCCATCAATCGAATACTAATCTCCATGACTTATAGGGGCCCCATAAATGCCAACGTCCTCAAGGAAAGCTGAAAATCACATGTCTCGACAACAATTCATGTAACCGCGTTTTCACCACCAAGAACGACTTCAACCGTCACTGTAGGACCAAGCATGCGCTCAGGAACATACAGCTGATCGACTGCGAGTTTGCTGGATGCAATAGGGTTGGTAGTGAAGGGTTCTCACGTAGGGATAACATGCGACAGCACATGAGAGATGTGCACAGGGTAGCATGCCCTGTCAGACAGTTTAGAGTACAGGGCCCGGTGCGTGGTTTTGTCTAGTCGATGGAGGGTTCCGAAGCGGGGTTGGCTCTTGTAAGGGTGGAGGGATTTGTTTGTGTTTCTCTTTTTGGCCGTGCATGGTTTACTCCATTTTCCTTTTTTGTCTTGAAACGATATATATATATCCTAGGCTCTCTCTTTCTTTCTTTCTGTTGCTTGGAACACTCTTTCTCGCTTTTCCTTTCTCAGTGGTTTCTCGATCTTGATCTCTTCTTTGACCTGCCTACCTGCCTACCTGCCTACCTGCCTGATTGTTTGATCCCCGTACGTACTGGCACATGCGCGCACGAATTAAACATAACTTTCGAGTATATATTATAACACTAATTCTGCCGAATAGGCAATAATCTAAAATAATGGGCATTAGTATGTGCATATGCATACGTACATACATATACATAGTTTACAGGACATGTACAAAAGACACCCTACTTCCCTACATATGGAGTCCGATTCTCACCCAATTATTGTGCCGAGTCATGATCCCTGGGCCAGACAGGCCTGAGAGCCTCGGAGCTGCAGTTTATACATTTCAATCGTTCCTAATCCAACAGATATAGGAGGAGAAAATATTGAAAAGTAGCTGTTGATCATGATATTAGTATAGACATTTTGAGTACACGATGAAACATGCTCAAGCTAAGTACCTATCATATAACTTTCCGCAAAAAACACTATCCTAAGCACGAAGAATTCGAAGCATTCCTGCATACGACACAGGCCACCATAATTAATTACGGGGGACACCAACCCAATCCGCATCACTTGTTCTCCCAAGACCGACTAAACCGGAATATTTATCTCCAACCCAGCTACCTTCATGACTCGAATTGATCGGCTCACAGTACTAGCGTGAAGTAACAGCAGCCAAGTCCACCGTTTGCCGATAGTGGTAGCTATGCACGTGCACATGTATACACGTATCGGCATGCGTGTGTCTACCAGTGGTGGAACCAAGAACTCCCCACTAATGTTCTGGAAGGATTCATCGACCATGCAGGGAATAGTCCATGTGCTCGGGCCGTTTCTTGAGATGAACGATGGTGATACGATGGAAGCTTGGTATTGTGGGGTACAGATGCAGGGCCTGTTTTTAAACCTGGTCTGCCGGTAGGCTATGTACATGTATGTTTGGTTAGAAGAGTGATGAACCTTGGCGTGGTACCGTCGGTCTAGAATGACTTTGTTATCATCCGAGGAATTGTCCCATAAACCGTCGAGACAACCCTTTACAAAGGGCAAAAAAGTGGCCGATGCCAACAGACCCTGTTTATTTTATTGAGCTCTTAACCAAGCATGCTGTGCCTTTATAAATCCCATAAGAAACAGCATCGACGGTTTATGAGATAATGTAGTCGCGGTATATACAAATCTGACCGATAGGCTTCGGCTACTATACCATTCAAAAGTCAGTAATAGTTAAGCTTTCGGAAGTGGTGGTGTACTAGCGTTCTTCTTATGTTACAAAGCTTAAGCAGGATTACAACGATGACATCTATTGAGACACATATGTATATATTTTGTTTCTATTGGTTATGGTTCCTGACGGTTTCCGGCGTGTAAAAAGTGTTCATGGAATAAAAAAGGGTGGATAGTAATCGTATGCCGTAAAGGATCGAATTGGTTACTGGTGATTGGTGGCCTATCATGGTCCTCGAGTTCTCTCTGATCGAGATGATAACTGGATCATTGAGCACGAGAGATCTTAACCGCCGCCATAATAAAGTCCAAGGATACAAATACCGAAGATTGTAGCTTCCTGATACGGTAGAAGATCCAAGATTGTCTTCTCGACAGATGATTCGCACAAAGCGCCTGCGCAGCTGCTCAATGTACCGAGTGAGATCTCATGATTTGCCAAGAAGTGTCGTGTCACGAATCGAAGCCCACATATACGAAAGAATAGAGTGGATACGTATGAAGTAGGTGCCTAAAGCCAAATCAAACCATCATGATCATATAGCGTCTGCAGGCTCGAGGAGCTAAAACATATCTTCATGCAGGCTTGACGAACTCAAACATCTATTCATGCAGGCTCGGCGACAGTAGAGAGCAACTATAGCCGGGGGGTAGATTGATGTATGTAAAGCCCACGCTCTCCCACGGTCTTTGTAGCATCAACTCTCCAAAATTGCTGCCAAATTTTTCTTCGACTGCTCGGTTATAACTGCTTGCTTTCTAAGAATAATCCTCAGCCTCTGGATCTTGCATATTGCACTTGTCTTACTTTTTGGTCATCCTTGTCTCACACTAGAGTCATGGATCAGACTAACGGGTAAGGTTTTTTTTTTTTTTTTGAGGTGCTAATAATTTGCCACCGTCGTATCAGTCAGCATCAAGATGCACTCGATCTATCCGGACCGCTTCTTTACCACGATTTCCCCGGGCTCGGGTATCTCAACCAGCCAGGGCTATTTGATGAGCCACTTCTCTACCAGTGGGGTGATCTACACCGGCCCCAATGCCTCGGCCCATTTATACTACTTGACCTCCCCGAGTCGCTTAGACCTGAGCAGTTGAATCCCCCAAGACTAGATAATCAACCGCCAGTAGAGGTCAATGATCACCCTATCGTTGAGCGCCGAAATTCTCTCCAGGTTGGGCCGCTTGAGGAGGCACCGGAATATCTCAACCCACTGAGACTATTCGATTTACACTGGCCCGAGTATCTCTACCCATTTGAACCACTTGACCTACCGGAACCGCTTAGGCCCGAACAACTGAATCCCATTGGACCAGAGGATCAACCGCTGGTAGTAATTATCGATGATCACCCTATCGTTGAGCGCCAAGACCCTCCCCCAGCGGTCCCCGAGCTCTGCAACGGGAAATGTAAAGGGAATCTGATGTAAGCACCTCCCACAGCTATGACAACCCATACTTACACTAACTTGGCCATTCTGTGCCACTATATAGCGGCCCCCACAAGTGTCAACGGCTCCAAAGAAGGCTTCACATTACATGTCTCAGTAACGACTGTACACATGTGTTCACTACCAAGAATGATTTCAACCGTCACTGCAACACAAGGCATGAGCTTAGGGAGTCACTGCTGGATTGCACCTTTGCTGGTTGTAACAAGGTAGGTAGGAATGGGTTCTCGAGAAGAGACAATATGTTGCAACATTTGAGAGAAAAGCACAGCGTAGAGATTCAGAGAACACGTTTCAGGATTCGGGGCCCGAGACGTGGTGTTGAGGTCTAAAGTTCGCTGGTGATTATTGAGTTGAGGTGAATGCCACCGAAGATGTTTTAGGGTGGGGGTGGGGGTGGGGGTGGGGGTGGGGGTGGGTCTCTTCCGTTTTTCTTGGGCTTTCTATCATTCCATCTTTTCTTTTCCATTCGAGGATTCCCTTCCTCTATCTCCTAGTTTGTGATTCCTGTCTTACCCCCGCGCCTTCTCTAGGCCCTTTCCTTTTGTACTATTTCTACTTCCGTTATTTTTTTTTGATACGCTCTTTATTTCACATCCTCTCATTTCGAAATATCCATTCATAACCCCTCAGCTCTTCAAGTGTTTTCTTTTGTCATAATTCGTCTTTTTTCATAATTCGTCTTTTGTCATCTTCCCCTCTTTCTATTTTCTGTCATTAAAAACCAAAAAAAAGACGGCCGCTTGTTGGAACACTAGAATATATGCACACCCGAAATTGAGTTTCCCCAATTAGAGAAAGTGACACTATTTGCCGTCGTCCTTCTCTGTATTCAGGAGTGGCTTGGCGGCTTATTGTAATATGAGTGCTACTAATCCTTTAGTATCAATGTGGTGATCTTATGTGAAGAGTTAAACGGGTTTACTCAGGGGTTGACGATTACTTGGGAGATTGAATTTCAGTATGTATAGGCTCCTAAGACTCGATTACATAACTTCCGAACTATCAACCCATAAACATGTCTTAATTCATAAGGGGACGCGGATACATAAATAGCCAAGAACCCCCCAATAAGCTCAAACATTGCAGCCACATCTGTAGGGACACCAGCCATAGGTCTCTGCTGTAAAAGCCCAACTCGAGGAATGTTAATTGGTAGCCGGGTACCTCAGCAGGGTGTTCTCTCCACCAACGGTACAAGCCGAAGAATACCGAAAGGGGCCTGTATCGTTGCCTCTTTGCATGAAATATCACTCGGGCCCTGGTCAAAAAATTTCTTAATTTCGGAGATTTACCGAGATTCTTATCATCTCTGTGTGGAGGTTTGATCAACCCAATATTTATGGGCTAAGGATATCATCCATAAGCTATTTATATTTTCCTAGTACATCTCAAGCAGCTCAAAGCATCATCTCTCCTTGTTATGAAGAGCAAGGCATGTCTTCCGGGCCCATGGGTAACGCATAGGTATCATTAGATAATTTTCTCTCCTTGTCTCACGCGTGCTAGCATAGCCCTGATTTACAGCGCGTATCAGGGGATATATGTTCATTAGACCGCACTACTCAGGACCACAGCCGGAACATTGCCACAACCCAAGTCCAATGTTCCCGCCATCTACTCAAGCATATTATTTCTTTAGTACCTGTATCTCTCCGATATTCGCGAGCCGTTGCTGCTGTCCCGTTGTTTGTCTAGACTGGCAGGTCTAATTATGGGCACGAGAGACCTGATGACAAGAATCAATTTCTTAAGACCTTTTTTTCAAATTTCGAGATAGCTCTCAAAACTTCCAAATAATACTTCATAGCCCAAAACTAGGCTTTATCTGGCTCTCTCTAGTGCCCAGCCTTCTTCACATTAGTTATAAACCGGGTATTCATTTTGACCTTACATTTAATCTGCCATTATTTGCCAACGATACTAGCCCCCCATTTACTTTTGGGAGTTATTGATGGCGAAAAGCCAGGTTCGTACAGGTTCTTACCCTGAATTTGGATTGAGCTCAGCCTGCCCTGGCTATGAAGTTCGTCCCTAGACTTAGCTTGGGCCTCAAGACTTTCAAGATTAAGATAGGACGATACAAGACAAGAATCAGTCCACAATAGTCTCGTGCCCATCATCAGGCGAGTTCATCTCTGCAGAAACCGCTATGACCAACGGTGATCCAGATCCTCGCATATTCGATCTCCAGATAGAGCCGGGTGAAGGCTCAGTATTTGAAGCGTTGTTCTTATGAAATAGAAGCGCCTGATGTCTAGGGTCCGCGGAAATGCGGGGACGGGAGGAAATAACCTTAACTACTGGTTTGATACCAGAGCCTGTATGCATTACTGTTCAAGTAATGAGCAATATCTGCCGAGATCACGATCTATACTCGTCCTGTACATCGACTCGGTTTCGAATGACCATCAGGGCATGCATGCCTTCCCGGACGACACCTGTAGAAACGCATTTTTTTCTTTCTCTCCCCTTTTTCCGATGGTGAATTTACTCGAATTAAACTTCTGTGGTAGAGTAAAAGTAGCGATCGTAATGGAGGGTGAATATTCACTAATCTCGTGATGTTAGCCCGTGTATGTTTATATCCAGAAATGGAGCAACCTGCATCATTTGACAAGCTTAGTATCCGGTGATATCTTGAGTCAAATTAAGAGAGAGTGGGATGAACATCAGTGCATGGTGTTCCTCTTTCTTTTTAGTGTCCGGCCCGTGTTGGGCCCCATGTTGATGTCAAAACCAAGAGAGTAGAGCTCATTTGAAACATGAGGTCGAGTGGCTGATGGGTTAGCTAGGTTTCTTCAAGAGTTCGGTCGGGCGGCCTGGAGGGAACTTCCAACAGGGGTAAGGTGCCGTGTGAAGTCAGTTACGTCCTGTAGAGTGGTGAAGGGCTAGAAGGAGGGATGGCTAGAAAACTGATTTCAATAAAAAGCTTGGCATCAATTTGTTAGTGGATACAGTACTAGTGCCAAGTCGACATACCCATTGCAATCCTCCACTACTTTAGATGTACGGTACTCTATCTATCTCTGTGCTAGGTATTTAGGTACCTTAATAGAAGCTGCTAACTGAGAAAGGTCACATTAATTAATGCCTTGTAAGTTTAGCGAGCCGGCTATCTAAAGTGCCTACACAATGAATACCTGGTGGTATAAGTACATGTATTCGTGTTACTGGAAGTGTCCTAGGGGAATCCACCAATTTGCGAAAAAATACATGTAAATAGCGCGTATCCATCCTACAAGGCAATAAGCGGGAACGTGCATTGCGCCCACTAATGTACTGAGTACGTGGTGTTTTCTCGTCAACTTGTTTGTAGTAATCCACGATAGTCTGAATCAGATCAATGTAAAAGTAGCGTAATCGAGCACTGATAATGGTTAGCTAAACACATACGCACTCCGACCGAGGTCATATCTGCCGTAGGATTGAACCGTAAGGACAGTCTGGTGCTACGATGAACCCCCAGGCGCGAATTATATGCATGAACTCACCTCTCTCCAATTCCTCCCATGGATCCAAGCCATCACCCACAATCAGGCCTCGTCTCACCAATCCTACAGGCCATGTACGTTAATTAACTGGGATATACGGTGATGTGATCATACATATTGATATTACTTTAATTGCCTTCCATCTGATGTATAAACGTCAGAAAGGGAGAATGTCCCGGTAACCCTAGCTAGTATCCGCGCACGTGCTGCGCAGACTTTTGTCGGGGTTTTCATTCATTGAGTACAATCCAATCCTAACTGCGCGTATCGTCCAAGCCTGAATACTTACGGCAATACAAATGTAAGAGAATTCGAATCTAAAGTCTGATCAATGCCAGTAGAGGGTTAGAGACTTCAGCACTTGAACCCGCCACGGCTGTTGAGCGACTTAATGTTTCCCGCGCACTGCGCATGATCACGAAGCATGAGATTACACTGCAAGGACCAATCTCTCGCACCATGATGTCAGAGCTAGACCGGTACATGAAATGCATGTGTTTGTCCCGCCAATTTACCTCGCATCATACGTACATACTAGTTTGAACCAGCACCATCTCTGCATAGAGGTCTTTAACAATCCTTGAGTATAGGCTACCTATATAAACACGAGCCTATCTTGATTACCACATGATCGACGATAGCATCCTCATTCCAAGTTTACACCGGGGTCCAATTGTTTTACCTACTCTATAAAAGGGCCAATGTTGTTCAAATAAGTATATTCTGCATCCCTTCAAGAGTGTATATCGGCCACCGGGCTTGCTATACCCTTACAGCTTTGTCAAGAAAAGATCTACCTAAACCTCGAAAAAATGGCCATGAAATCAAAATATTCAGGCCCTATTACCGTCGATTCGGAGGATGATGACTATACTATAAGTAGTTCATCCAGCACCACTGGATAGTACGTTTTTTCCCCTTCTTTTTTCCTTTCTATTACGACTTTTGATTGTTTTTTGAGTTGACCTCTTTCTCTACGGCCACAACAGCGTGAGTGATACAACGACATTTGCAACTACCATATTCGATTACAAGTACGAAAATGGTCGCAGGTAATCACTTCCCCCTCCTGCCTTGATAGAGAATCGTTAGTTGATATCATGAGGCAGATACCATTCGTATAGAGAAGGCGCTTATTGGGCGCCCAACGATATCCAACAAAACGATCAGCTTAATCTATTGTAAGTCTTTCTGCATGTATCAAGAGACTGAAAGCTGACCCAAACCTATTTAGCCATCAAATTTATACCTTAGTACTACAAGGCGAGCTCTACGATGCACCCCTCACTGGAAACGTAAAAAGCATCCTCGATGTTGGCACCGGCACCGGGATCTGGGCTATTGAAATGTCAAACAAGTTTCCCTGTGCAAGGATTGTAGGGAATGATTTATCGCCTACACAACCATCATGGTAGTTACACAGAATCATTGCACCCGAATCAGCGTGCTGATGCATGATAGGGTCCCATTAAATGTTGAATTTGAGGTGGATGATATCACGCAAGACTGGACTCATCCTCCTTGCAGCTTTGACTTTATACACGCCCGCGCCCTCGCCGGCTCTATTCCCTGCTGGCCCATATTCCTCTCCCGCGCCTATCGCACACTCTCGCCCGGCGGTTGGTTCGAGTCCGTCGAAACCACACTAGAACAGCTCAGTGACGACAACTCTGTGCCACCCGAATCTGCCGTGACAGAGTGGTACCGGCTACTCTCCGAGTCTGGGGGAAATGTTGGCAAAGCATTCGATACAACGAATATGAGCACTTGGATGGAGGAGCAGGGGTTCGTGAACGTTAGACAGAGGGTTTTCAAAATCCCTACAGCACCGTGGCCGGCTCCTCCGGCGTTGAAGGAGATTGGGAGACAGAATTTGGCAAACTTGTTGGAGGGTATGGAGGGATTTTCGTTGGCACTATTCACGAGGGTTTTGGAGTGGGATACTGCGGATATTGATGCGTTGCTGGCAAGAGTGAGGTCGGAGCTTTTGGATAGGAAGGTGCATTCATATTATCGGATGTAAGTTTTGCGTCACCCTTTCGATTATATATCCGGTTCGAGGCTAAGGATGTAAAGGTTTGTGGTTATTGGCCAGAAGCCAGAAAACGCAGCTGCGTCAGAGAAGACAGCTGGAAATTCTGTTAAATTCTCAAATGAGCCTGGCCCGAGCTCGTAATATTAGTATTAAAATATTAATGATAGGCTACATGCCAGTATTTAGGGAGATTTTGTTACTATAGGCTGCTGAGAAATATTTAGACACAAATGCGATTGTAATAGATTCCAACGTAACTAGAATTGAGAGATTTCCAATCCCTAAAGATTTTGATGTTACTGAAAGATCTAGATACTCAACACTACCCGTGGATGCTCGATTGGTTCTCTTTCACGCCTTGGTACACAGCGCTGTCAATCTAATTTCGTAGGGATAGGTAAGTGCTTGTACCTATTACTTTCCTGAAGTAAGAGACTTAACAATACCATATATTTAAGTAGCAATTTGTCTTGTTCGCTATGTCAAAATCTGAGAATTAAATCCTGATATGAGAAATAGTTGAAAGATCCTTTCCTACCGCCGATACCAACAGAGAAAATAGTTGTACAGGTCGTGTCGAGCCTGATAATACGAGCCATATTCTCATTAAAGTGACTATATGGGTACCGCAAGACTTAGAATCCGCCATCAGGAAACGGGCCTAGCTATTCTAGCGTTAAGTACACGGGTACTAGTGACTTCACGAAGACCTTCGCCGCGGCCATGTAGACGCGTCGTCTTCACCCCTCAGTATTTGTCCATAATGAAGAATCTATCTCCCAGTGGTGCCCATGAAACAATAGCCACTAAGTGTCCGAATATATTAGTACGCACGGATTCCGGTGGGGTAAGGTACTGGATACATAGCCTCCATAAATGGCTTGCCTAGGTCTTAACCCCGGACTACATATAGTTCGTATTAGCTAGCTCCCCCTTATTGCTGCAAAGCGCAGTTGTATGAAGCTGTTTATACGTATACTGATAATACGCGTAGGGCTAGCTTGTAGTTGTGCCTTTCCTGGGTCATTTGATCATGATGAAGCATCCGGCATCTACTGACATTCCGCAAAAGAGTTAGAGCACTAAACCAAACTCCAAGCTTAACACCAACCGTTATCAGCTTCCCCAGAAAACCAACCTAGAGACTAGAGCATACTCTACAGCCATATCCGCACTGGCCTATTCCCTAGCTATCTACATGTAGCTAAACACGCAGCTAAACACCTAGCTAGCTCAACCCAACCCAACCCACGACCAACAGACCGCCCGCAGATCCCCGCCAAGCCCAGCACCCACCACCACGCTAGCACTCCCTACTGTTCTCTCCAAACCGGCTAGCGCCGTGATCTACATTTAGTTAGCGACTAGTACATCCCCCTTCCCCCCCTCCCCGACATTGCCTGATTAGTCATTCAAAGCTCAAGTATTTCAAATCCTGTTACTACTCCATCGTGGATATTGATGATTATTCGCAGTTACCAGGCACGGGCACGGTTTGACGGCGTGTGGAGGGAGTGTTTCAATCTAGTGTTTCGATCTAGATCTATAGTCTGTGGTGGTGGTGGTGGTGGTGAAACAGATCCAGATCTAAATCTCGCAACAGGACGTTGCAGGTTGGGGGGGCGGCGGGGCGTCTATTCTTCAGAAGCGAGAGTCGCAACAGGGTGTTCTAGATTTTGGTGAGTGGTCCTCGTGGCTCTAGACTAAGTGATGAGGAGCTCGAAAGTGTTGAGATTTGGGGTTTCTCGCTTGTGGTGGGTTGTGGTGGGGAATAGGCGTCATGAGGGGTCACTCGGTTTGTGGGTGATCAGACCGGGAGTGGTTTGGTCGTGTACGAGTGATCTGTTGAGTGAGGATAGGCGATTGAGTGGTGATACTCAGTGACAGGTACTCTAACTATCTCAAGACCATGAACAGTAAGATGACTATTGAAAGCTTCATTACAAAACCTACTAAAACGTACATTCAACTATATACCAACTATAACTATAACTATAAACCCCATAACTCCAATTACCAAACGAAAGAAAGAAAGAAAAAAAACACTGATAAACTCCTGATAGCTACATATATACTCAATACTTACAAAACCCTCAAAGCCAAATCACGCCTCCCCCAACTCCTTAACCTGCCTCCTCTCCAACTGCCTCATGAGCGACATCCTGCCCACCACCTTGCCTATGCTCCTGATCCTCCTCCCCCACCTCTTCCCCTTCTCCTCCTTATCGCCGACCCCCTCCCCCTCCCCCTCACCTCCAGCCCCGCCCTCCATACCCACCGCCTTCTCCTCCGCCAGCAGCATCTCAGCAACCTCATACCTCCCCACAACCATCCTCGTAATCTCCTCATCCCCCTTCTTAACCGCCCACTCGACCGCCGTCTCCCCATCCACACTCGCCACATCCGCATCCGCCCCAAACTCCGTCAGCAGCTTCACCGTCAACCGCTGCCCCCGCCACACAGCCCAATGCAGCGCCGTCTCACCCCTCTCATACTCCTGCGCGTCCACCACGCCCTCTCCGCACCCGCCCTCACCGCCCTCACCACCCTCACCACCCACTACCGCCGCCGTCGCCGCATCCTTCTCCAGCAGCATCCTGAAAATGCCCACCAGCGACTCACTAGCACTCTGACACTTCACCGCCCACAGCAGCGGCGTCATCCCAGCATGATCGCGCGCCGCCACGTCCGCGCCGCGCTGCAGCAGGAGCTGCACCACCTCTGCGCGCCCACGGACCACGGCCTGGTGCAGCGCCGACTTGCCAAACCTGTCGTCGCGCGCGTTGATGTCGGCGCCGTGGTCGAGAAGGAAGCGGACCATCTCTGTGTGGCCCTGCCAGGCGGCGCACTGCAATGCGGTTTTGCCGTGCTCGCTCGTTTTGGCGTCGATGGGGGGAGGGGGGAGATGGTTGTGAGGAGGAGGCGGGCGAGGGAGAGGCGGTTGTACCAGGCGGCCCAGTGCAGGGCGGGGAGGACCATGCCGTAGCTGTGGCGGTCGAGGGTGGCGTGGGTGTGTAGATGGTGGGTGGTGAGGTGGTGGAGGCGGTGGTTGGTGAGGTGGAGGTTGAGGAGGGAGGGGAGGGGGAGGTGGTCGGCGATAAGGAGGAGGAGCTCGTTGGGGAGCGCGAGGAGGGACATATTGGGTGGGTGTGTGGGTGTAGTATGTGGGTGTAGTAAGATATGTAGGTATGTCTAATTCTTGGGTGTTTCTTTAATGTGATACGATCTGTGGTGGTGGTGAAGAAAGCTAGAGATATCGATAGATGAAAGTTCCTCTGTGCTGTACAGTGCAGCTATGTGTGAGCAAAAGCTAAGTGTATATATATATAAGGAATTCCGGTTCGACAGTTGCGAAAACGACTTTAGTTAAAACGAGCGGGAGCTTACTCTAAGATTAGCAATCATTCAAAAAAGAAAACCCAAGGGGAAGAGAAGAAACAACATACAAAAGTGCACTCTGCTCTCTGAATTCTTGCACCATCTTTAAACACCCTCCGGGAAACAGTTTATTTTAGTCCTCTCCATCCTCCTCCTCCTCCTCCTAGCTCTCAACACAACCCCCCCTGGACTGTCATTTCAAAATTCAAGGGCCCCTTGTGTAACCCCGCAAACCAACCAACAATCAATCTCCCTCTCTAGCTTCTTTTTTTTCCTCGTTCTATTGCTTTTGCTTTTTCTGCGGTCTGTGCCTTATGTTCGCTGATCATTGTTTCAGTCCCAGAACGCTGGGTTTCACCCACGTTGGCCCAGTCCAGTCCAGTCCGGCCCTGACCTGTCCAGGGTTCTAGCTGTCTGCCCCCCCCCCCCCTCCCTTCCCCATCTCCCAACCAGAAGAATTTCATTTTTTTTCTTTGCTTTTCTTTTCTACTTCCCCCACCCCCCTCAGATCATGAAACGCAAGGGGGGGCTAGATCTTGTAAGGCAGGTTTTGTATGGGGGGTGGGATCTAGCCAGCCGGCCAAGGACGAGTTAGAGGCCGAGTTAGAGGCCGAGTTAGAGGCCGTGGTTATATATATCCCCCCGTTTTGACAGCGCATAGGTCGTTTTGCGGTCTAGGACTCGTCCAGGCACCACCATAGGCCCATAGGTAGGTAGAGTGATGTGATCTCTGGACTAGACCGTTCGCCCATAGCCATAGATGAACCAGCCAGCTAGTTACACCGCGGCGGCAGCCGGCCAAACGTGCAAGAACGATAGATGGAATGTAGTCCAATGGTTCTCGTACGATCCAAATCTCGTTTACTTGCCTTGCTGGGGGATTACTAACCCCACTGAGTGCACCCGCCTAATGTCGGGAACGCTTTATCGCGATGTGTCTGCCAACCGGACCGGTGGGTACTCCGAATCACGGCCAATCACTCGGTTTGTACCGTTGATGGCTGCTTACGTGGAAGCCGTTTGTTTGGCAGGCGCAGCCAATCAGTGCCTTCCTCGTCCCCTCCCCTCCCCGGGTGGTTTTTAGGCGGTATTGACCGGGAGGGGTGGGGTGGGTGGTGGGCGCCAATCACCGCAACGCTGCCGGGAAAAAAGGGACATTTGTTTTCTCCCGGATCAAATAGAGTGATAGCTGGCGGAGGTTTGTTTCTGTGTGTGTGTGGTCCGGTTGTCCCGAGATGTTGCGATCCGATCTGATTCCGAGATATGGGTGACGAAAGAAGATCGGTGCATGGTGTGTGGGTTGGGTTGGGTGCACGACTTCAGTGACATGACATGACAGGCACATACAGCTCATGTATAGATAGATACCGGGAATGAAGCGAGTTGTCTCACTCTGTTTTCTCCCTCTCCCTTCTGCTGCTGGATGATGGTGGTGGTGATCGGTGCTGCTTGTATCGGGTGCATGTCAGTGGTATGTAACTTGGCGGGTAAGCCGGGGTGCGGGGGGAGAGAGGGCCGGGGAAGAAGAGGTATTCTTACCGTCTGTCTGTACGTGAGAGGAAGAACCGGCCCAACGTCTCTCTGGATAGCTTTTGTTGGCCAGGGTTGGGTAACACTCACTGTCTAAGGATGTACCTACTCCACCTACTACTCCACCCTACAGTAGCACTACTGCTCCACCTCGACCCAACTCTCGACCTCGCTGTGCACAGTATCGATACCTAGCACTACGCCCACTGTCAGATTGGGCGATGTGCGCTGCGCTGTGGTGCTGCTGCTGGGTATGGGTACGCTTGCCCGGCGCGGCCGGTAGGTATGTATGCTGCTCTGCACACAATTATGGCTTCAGCTGATGGGTTCGAAGCAACGTCCGTCCATGAGGCGGGGATGTGTTTTGTATCACCAGGACAAGAACAGCCCTATCTGGCTGCGCAGTCTGGCTGACTGACTGGCCGGGCGGGATAGCGCTCCAAAGAGAGAACTCTTTTTTTATTTTTTATTTTTTATTTTTAATTTTTTTTTGCCAACTGGAAAAGAAAGAAAAAAACATTTTGGATGATATGGCGCCAGAGAGTTGAATTGGTGCAAAAAAGAAAAAAAAAATCACAGAGAATTTCAAAAGTCTATATACCACCCAGTGCTCCGTGGAGGCGCGCCTCACAATCCAACGGTCAAATTTCCAAATGTTTGCAGTTGATTGCATATACATATTGATTGCACTCGCGGGGAACGTCCTTGAATTAGCCTGAAAGCCACGCTTAATTAATGTGATATTGTAGATGACTTGATTGATGAGGGGAGGAAGAGGAAGAGGAAGAGCGCTCCAACCGTTAAGATTAATGTACCAGCCATGTAGTCTGGTATATTCTGTTTTACTTGCAACTTAGACGATGCTGAGTGTTCTCTCCACATGGCTGTGAATACGCCGTTGCTAAGTATTGTACTGACTAGGCCTTATTGGCAGTCCCGCAATCCATCCCTACATAGCCGCGTGTTGCACGTTTTTATTTGCATCCCGCCCGGTCCGGTGTGCCTGGCTACATGAACTACATGAATTACATGACCTACGCGCTGTGGTGGTGGAGGATGGCCGGCCGGAGCGATCGATGCCGCACTCGACATCATGCTCGTCCCGTCTTTTGATAGTGACACTGAAGGAACAGAAAAGAACATCTCGCGAACAATATTCAGCTTTCGGTTTTTCAGAACTAATTTACATTTCCATCTTGGGACCACACATATGTACTCTAGCTCTACAACACTATAATAACAGTCATCAACAGTCAGTCAGTCACCACTGTTTCACTTCTCTAGCCCTGCCATGCCCTGCCATGCCCATGCATGTTCGCTGCTCTACCTACTCGATTACTCTGCTCTCTTCCCGGTTAACATTTGCACCTGATCACTAATATGACCCATGGTGCATATTCCCCCAACCTCGAAAACGCACTTCTCGAATGTTCCGAGTGCTGCTGTTGATAATTGAAACATTAGAAATTTAAATTTTTAATTACGCTATGTAGCCCTCCACGCACGGCATGATCTGTGACAAGACAGACAGACACTAGGAACGTAGGAGCGCAATCGACTTCTGGTTATTAAGGCTCGATAAACAGTGCACAGTAAACCTGGTGGTTAATTCGTAAGGGCAGGTCGTAAAGCACATACATACGTAGCTACATGTAGAAGTACAAGTCTCTAGCTCTTTGCACCACCATGCGTCACGGACGCCCATCGCAGAATCGAATCCCAAATCCCTAAATCCCAACATGTTTCGTTTCGAGATCAACAAAAACTCCCATCTCCATATGTTTATCCCCAGGCACAAACACCCATGATCACCCACACCCACCTATCCACTCCCACCACCACCCATACCAGCCCCATCCACACCCACGCGCCAGTGCGCCTTCGCACCAACGCCATCTACCTCATCACCTCACCCCCGATGAGCCATGCTGCCATGCAACCCTACCTACCCTACACATCATACTCCAGATCAACAGAGTAGATCCGCACCCATCTGCAGGAACCTCTGCCCTCCCGCCCGTTATAGGGTAGGGTACATACACTCACTCACTCACTCACTTTCACTCAGGCCCCAGCTAGCTGCTAGCTTGACTAATCATACTCCCGCCGCACAAACTATCACTCGTTTCCCGCACATTCCAAAACCGGTGCGCTGCCGGGCTGCGTTGCGCCACGGGGTGGCGTGTGGATGGATGGATGGCGTCCAATATCCGGGTCCACCCCCTAGGGAGCTGGAGCTGGTAGGCTCTAACCTAAACCTAACCTAAAGCTAAAGGCGAACCTAAAAGCTAAAAATAAACTTTCCCTTTCTCGCTCGCTCTGTTTCTCTTCTACTAGGGTAGGTAGATTTAAGGCATCGGTGAAGAAACCCTCTGCCAAAATTAAAAAAGCGAGGCCTAGGTTAGGTTAGGTAGGGTACGGTCATGTCGCAATGTGTATGTAGTATGTAGTAAACATCCCGTTGCGCGCTCCATCATATCATATCATCGCCATCACCAGGCCGTGGTAGGTATCACGTAGGTTAGTGGTACATGTAAGGCAGCGGTAGTGGTAGTCTCTTCGATTCGCCATCATCACCATCATCTCATACCCAACAATAGCGTTGTCCCAGAGCTACATACATGCATGTAGCTAGCTAGCTACCAGCTTACTACACGACTCTAGCTCTGAGTAGTTGGACCCTGCACTAATAATAGCATTCCACTCTACTCTACTCTACCTCACTCATCAATCCACTCCGTTAATTCACCGTGGAGCGGCAAGTCCCGCCCTCGCCAGCCAGCTGGTCGTCCATGGAGAGAAGAGAGAAGGGCGGGCGGGAAGATACCTACTCTAGAGAGATGCAGCAGCATGAAGAAGAAGAGGAAGAATGGTGTAGAAAGTGCGGGAATGGTTCCACTCTGGTGTGGAGTGGATTGTGTTGGATTTCAATTGAAGTGGATTGGATGTGTGGATGTGTGGATTGGGAGGGAGACTGCCTACTGGTCTACTCTATCTGTATCAACTACCTACCTGCCGACCGGGGGGGGGGAACATTCATCGAATATCATCATATCATAGGTAGGTTACGTTATGTAGAAGAACAGACAACGCCCAACCAGCCCTGATCGCAACGTCCAAACAAAAAAACCCTACTCGTCGCTTCATGTCCTCTCCTACAATACCTATCTATACAATACCATCACGGCACTCGCGGTGTGAGAGGGAGGGGGTGCAGTGCAAAAGCAAAGGGGGAGAGAGGGGGGGGCAAAATGCAGTTTCGAGAAAAAACAACGGGCCCCAAATTCCCCAAAAGCCGGGTTGGGTCCAATTGTTCGATTGGGTCCGACCGGGGGGAGGGGAGGCGCGCGTCCGTGCCCGCTTCACAAAGTTAGGTTTGTAGTCAGTTAACCCCAGGTTTTTTTTTTTTCTTTCTCCTTCCTTCCCTTTGGTTTTGGTGTGGGTGTGGCACTGGGGCGGGATCGTGGCCGGGCGGATGTCTGTCTGGGAGTGTGCGAGACATTCGCGGTGTATCTATCTACGGCGTGGTCCACGGTTTCGATCCCTTTTTGGGTTTGGGGGGCGCCGCGCGCTGGTTTGCCAACGCGTAGGTTGTTGCTCTGGGTACATACGGCACCTAGAGTAGAGTATGGCGGAGAAGGTGGAAGTAGAGTAATGGGGATTACTCCAGCCAGATGCAATGGAGGGAAGAGAGGGCCGAAGGGGAAGGGTGGGAACGGAAGGGAAGGAATCGTGCTTGTGCTTTGCTTTGCCTTCCCTTCCGGCCCTGCTACCTACATACATACACCCATAACTTGCAAGTTAAGTTGCCTGTTGCCAGGCGGCAGGCAGACAGGCAGGCTGGCAGGCTGGCAGGTTGGTTGATGCTGTTTCAAGGCTGCGGTCAGGTACCGATGGCGACAATTAAAGGCACGGGGGTTGATTCTTCTTTAATTTGGTTTGGGGCAGTTCGTTTAGAGTCGGTGTGGTGTTGTTGTACCTATTGTACCTACCTCCTAATTCTACTACCTAGAGTACCTAGAGTACTTACAGCAGGTACCTGGTGCCTGCTCAGAAGACATGCGCACGGGCAGTGTAGAGGTCAGGCAAATGACTACTTTTACTAAGCTGGCTAGCACCCTACATGTACCTAGCAAATCTGGAAAAGCAATTAAGAGGGAAGGAAGGAAGGAAGCTTCGGTGTTTTGTTCCCGGGGGAGCAATTATCACAGTATGCACCTTGCTAGCTACTCTAGCTCCGTAGCTAATTGGAGCTGTAACTAATGATACCTTCTGTTTGCCTTCCTTCCCCCTCGTCTCCCTCGAGCTTTCGCGCTCATCATGGGAGCTCTCTTCTTCTCTACTTCTCACTTTCGTCGTGCTAGTGACCTGTACCTCGCTGCATTGGGATTAATGAACCGTTGCAGCGCGCTAGCTCGGCCAGTTAATTGGAGCAAGCAGGCAGGGGGGGCAGTTGTGACGTATGGACTAGTACAGTAACAAGCAAGCCAATCCCAGCACGCCGGAAAACACGCAATTCGTATCCAAAGCATGGATAGATGGATGGGCGACGGCCGCGGATGGGATATGTGATTGATGCCGGCCGGAAAGCGACCGACGGGCGGGATACCGAAAGAAAACAAAAAAAAAGAACGAGATCAAGATTGGAAGCAGCCAGCCGGTCCGAGTGTGGACGGACGGACTAGGGTAGGGGGGTAGGATCTGACATGAGGGACGGACGGCCGGGTAACCTGGAATGTAGGTGTCTCGTTTTCGGGAGAGGGCGTTCTCACGGGTACACAGGTGCTACTGGGGGTGGTGGTGGTGGTGGTAGGTAAGGTAGAGTAGGTCATGGTATCCAATGGTGTGTGTGATCCGTCCTGTGTGGTTCGCCCCGCTTCTTTGAACCGGGGGGCGTGTTTGGAGGGCTCGAATCAAACGGATGAACCTCGAAACTTATTCGCGAACACGTAGATCTAGAAGTGGGCTTCGTATGTAATGTAATGTATGTAGGTAGCTTAGTAGAACTGTGAGTACATACTAGCACGGCGTGATTGTGATGCTCTCTAGCTAACTCTCTTTATCTTTCTCCTCTTTTTTTCTTGCTTGCTTTCTCTTTCAGCTGTGGTGGAGAAGGAGGAGGAAGAAGAGATTTTTTTTTTTTTTTTTTGTCCCTCTTTTCTATTGTTATTTATTTTACTTTTTAAAGCCTCACCCAATATAAGGATTTTCTGGACGTATCGACGTGGCAACCCTCACGAAGCATTTCACCCATAAACTCACCCCCCGGGAAAAAAAATCCGAAAAACGCCCGGAAGAAACAACCTTTGAGTCAGTGTCGAACAAGTCACTTCCCTCGTCCACTCAAAGCAGCACTAGTAACAATTTTACGTCCTACTCACCTTTTTTTGAATCTGCTCTGCTCTGCCCAATTCTCTCCACGAGCTACTACTAGCTAGCTGCTTGCCCACACCGAAATCCATCTTTCCCATCCCACTTTTTTTCTCTTTCCCTGTAGTTTAGTAGTGTAGTTACATGTAGGCACATACTCGTACATTACAGCTTCTCCCACACCTCCTTCTTGTTGGTTGCATGATCCCCAGAGTGCATCGATTGTACCGCACACTTACTCACCCTTCTGCTCTCTACCAGAGCAGTTTAGTCCCATCATCAATAATCCTTGGGTTAGGTTCTCGTTCTTCAAAGCTGCTGCTTGCTGCTGCTCGTGACTCGCTTGTTCCTGTTCTCGTAGTCAGCAAAGCAACGGCACCGCCCCGCCACCCGCTTAATACCACCCGCAAAACCTGCGTCTCCTCTCCCTTCCTCCCTTCCTCTCTTTCCCCTCCTCTCTCTCTTTCTCTTTCTTTCACTTCACACAACAATTTCGCTCCCCACCCACACCCCTCCCCTCCCCCCCCCCCCCCCGTTCTCCACCCGAACTAGGTGCTGCTTGCACCTACCCACACCCACCACCCACACCCACCCACACTTCAGGCTTCTACAAACCTGACCTAACCTAACATCCTCTTTCTCTCCTAACTACTTCTTACCTCACCTACCTCACCTCACCTTACCTACACTTACTCTTTCTTCTACCTACCTTATCTTTCCTTCCACCACCACCACCACCGCGCTTCTTTTTTATTTTTTGGTTGTCGGTTTCCTCTTCCTTCTCCTTAGGTTTCGGTTTCGGTTTCGGGGTTTCTACATATCTTGTTCGGTCGCATTTTGGATAGTGGTAATAGTACATCGTTGCTGCTGCTATTTTACTATCGTCCGCTATTGCATTACTACTGAGACTTCTTTCTACCAGTACTATCAAATCCTCTTCTCTGTGTACTATTCCCACGTACCCTTTTACCCCCCCACACTCCACACTCCACACTCCACACACCCTTGGGTTTTTGGTTGCTGTAACATTATCCATACATCATCAGAACAACTGGGGGTTGCTCCATTCGATTTTCTTATACTCCCCTTTTTTCTTCTCACGATCTTTCTGCTGCTTTCCACGTATAATTGCCTCGTAAAGAAAAGAGAGAAGAACCAAGTATACGTTGGGAAAAGGTACGAAAAAGACAAGACAAGAAAAGAAAAGAACAAGACAAGAAAACAAGACAAGAAAAAAGCTACACTAGAGCAGAGAGGTCAAGGAAAAGAGAAGATAAAAAAAATACCTAATTTTTTTTTCCTTTCTCCACAACCTTTTTTTTTTCCTTTCCCTTTCTACACAACCCCCCCCCCCCCAATCATTTCCGCACGAACCAATCATCACTCTTCACCTCCACAAACCACAATGGGCTTCCTCCGCCGCAGCCCCTCAAGTTCACGACGCATGATGACCCCTAGCAGCACCAGCAGCAGCTCCCCCACATCAACGACAACAACACCATCACCACCACCACCACCACCACCACAATCATCACAACCCCCAACAATCACCACAAGCACCCCCACATCGACATCCCCCCTCCCAATGTCAACGCCAATGTCCGCCTCCTCCCACCCCCGCACCTCCACCCGCAAGATCTCAAAACACACCCGCAAAACACGATCCCGAACCACCACCTCCTCCTCCTCCTCCGCCCTCTCAACCTCCGCTTCCGCCTCCACCTCCCCCCCACCAAACTTCTTCCACGACCACCCCCACCACCGCCGGCGACCACACCGCGTGACGCTGGTACCCACAACTTTCGCCCCCGTCAGCGCCTACTTCCCGCGCGACTACCAGTTCGAGTTCGAAGACGAGGGCTACGACAGCGCGTCGTCGGCCTCCTCCTCGTCCGACGAGTCTACGGGTGGTGCCGCGGTAGCAGCAGGGTGGCGGCCCGTGCAGGGGAGCATCGAGATGGAGTTCATGTTTGGCGACATGGACGACGAGTTTATGGCGGAGCTGACGCGCGAGAGTACGCCTGAGGCGGAGGAGGACGTGGTGATGGCGGAGATGGGGTATCGGTCTGTTGCGACGACGGCGTGGGGGGTTGGGCAGGAGAGGGGCGTGGGGCTGGGGGGGAGGGTCGTGGATGAGGATTATGACTAGATTTTGGGGTGTAGGAACGGATATTTTTTCTGTTTAGCTGCCTATCTACATCTATATACCTACCTGCCGATTCACCTGCTTACTACTATATACCGCCTGCTACTACTACTACCACCACCACCACTACCGCGAGCTAGCTAGTACCACCACCCAGTACTACCTGCACACCACAAAAACCACTTCAGAGTTGCGTTTTTTTCTTTCAGCTGGGGGAGGGAGATATCTAAAGGTCTTCAATTGCCTCTTTTTTTCTTCTTCCCTTTCCTTTTTTGAGCCCCATTTTTTTCTTCCTTCCCCATTCTTTGCTCTCCGTAGGGGGGTTTTTATATTAATTCCTTGGTTTCGCAGTCCTGAAGAAAAAGAGAAAGAGAAAAGTTGGAATCATTGGAAGGAAGGGGAGAAAAACAACCAGCCATCATTCATTCATCACTCTTACAATCTCAAGTAAGGTCTGGTTTTCTTCTTCTTTGCTTTCTTCACGGCCTTCCTCTTCTTTTTTCTTTTTTTTTCTTCATCCATGGATCGATCCTTCCCACCTTGCCTACTACCCCCCCTTCTTGAGCTTATAGTTGAGTTGGGGGCGAAGAGATGGCTCGGCTCCTTGTCACCCTCATCCTGCGGGACCAGAACCTTGGATTGTATGTGCGTGTTTTTTTATATTTTTTTGTCCGAGGTTGTTTATATATGTTTCTACTTCTTTTTTCTTTCTATTACTTGTTTTACTTTTACAATGGCGCCGGTGTATTAGGGAGGAAAAGAAAAAAAGGCTTGTTTCTTTTTCTCTCTTTTTTCCTTTCCAAAAAAAACTCTTGTATATTTTTTTTTTTTCTGTTATGGGATCCGGATTTTTTGCAAACGGGGTGTTCTTCTATTATTCATCTTTTTTTTTTATCTTCTGTGTGATTCTCTCCTCTTTTTTTTTTACTCTTCTTGGGCGGGCTGTTTTTTTTACTTTCGGATGCACGGTTGGGCTTTTTTTCACCTTCAGCTTGAAACGAACGCACGCACGAACGATCGATCGATAGCCACCACTACTCGACTCGGCTACTACCATTACTAGCGGGAACTAGTCTTTTACATGAGGATCCCCAACTCGTTTGTTTATCGGGGGAGCTTGCGCGGAGTTTGTTTCCCTTTTTTTTTTTTTCCATCCATCAACGCGCGGTTGGGGGGGGGGGGGGTTCATTCTTCTTCTTCCTCTTCTTGATCATGGTTTCCTTTTGTAATTCGGGCTGGTTGGCGGGGGGGGGGGGGAACTCATAACATAGCACGGCGTTTTTTTTTTACTCTTCTTTTTTTTTGCGCGTCTTCTTTTTTTCTCTCATGGGAGGGGGGCTGGACGGTGTTTTTTGTGTGTATTAACTCTGGCATTATGACGAACTTCTTCTTCATTCTTTTTCTTCTTCTTTGTCTTTTCTCTTTTTCCCCGCGTTGCTTGCTAGAAGAACGACCCCTTACGATCATGGCGTTTATCTTTTTTCTCTCTTCTTTATCTATTATTATCTTTTCCTCTCTTCTTTTGAAGCTAGCTCAAGCCAGCCAGCAAGCTAGCCAAAAGCTAGCTATGATGTAGTTCTGTAGTTATTTAGCATCCACATGGCTACCCCAAAAGGAACATCAAAGAAACACACCAGAAATATCTCACCATCCCAAATCAATATCGCAATCTCTATCGTGTGAAACGTTTCTTCTCCCTGCAACAAAAGTGACGATCCCGGATCTGCTGGCTGACGCACGCACGGATCCTGGGTTGGCTTGGCCCCCCCGGGTTAGCTTGGCTCGCAATTGGGTAACCCTAACCCTGTCATTGTCAGGTCAAGTGGTGCGCGGTGCGCGTTGCGCGTGTGCGGTATTGTGTAAAGCACGGTGGGTGCTGCCAAGGCCGTGGATCTGATGACTTGATTTGATGTCTTGGCGTGCCTGTGTTTTCCATGGGGATGGCGGTTATGTGAGGTGGGTGAGTGGTATTCCCATGTAGGGCAGGCCTAGGAAGGATGGGAACCTAGATTACTCTGCGTGATCAACTAGAGAGGGCTGATGGATGTTGAGGGGAAAAGGGGGGGGGTCCTGAGGCGTGCCCTCAGATCGTGGTGCTAGCTAGACGTTAGATAGCTCGGGAAAAGTGCACACAGACATGTAAGCTTTAGGGATCCTCGCTCCATCCATCCCTATATTTCCCTCCTATCGTTGTTATTGGGTATCCGTCCGCACCCCCAGCAACACGCGCGGAGGTAGGACCGACGGACGGGGAGATGGTTAATTAGTGACATGTAGTTAGAGTACATTACATTGTGGCTAGGGTAGGATAGGATAGTGCCGCTTATCCGCATGGGACCCGAGGGCTCGGGCTACCGATCGAGGGTGTCAGTCCAGTCCCGTCCCGGTATGGTCCGTCCGTGGCCATGGTGGTACAGGGCAAAAATGCGGAGATGGTGGAACCGAGTGATAGTCTGCGATTGTGATGTGGTGTGGACGTGGGCGTGGGCGTGGGCGTGGGGGGAGCCGTGGATTAGTTAATAGCTTGTCTTGGACCACCGGGTGTGTTTGTGACGTTTATGGGCATGGATCGGTTGGCGCAGTATCATGAATTATCACTCGATATATCCCGTATTTCTTTTTTCTTTTCTTTTCTTTTTTTTTGGTTTAATTCATCTGTATTTCTTTGTTGATCATGATCGATTCATTCACGTTGGGCTTTCCTCGTTGAAAAAAGTGGGACGAGATAGCTGAGTGGGATTGTTTTTACCTTCAAGGAACCCAACTACATGGATTGGACAGGTATCGACATGGCCAATGACAGGTGTCGATAGTGACAAGTGTCGGCATGACAGGTCCGGACAGCTCACCTCATTTGAAAAGCCAAGTACCCATTAAAATCACTCCCATAGTATTGGGAGACGCACTTTTGGCACTTCCGAGAAACCGATGGTGGAGGGACGTGGTTTTTTTTAGTGATGGCCACGAGGCAAGAAGAGACCAGATTGACAGTTTCGTCTCGTATCCTGTTGGTAAGGGATATTTCTCGGGAGTCTCGAGACGTCTCGAGAGTATCCCGAGATAATTGTGGTCTCGAATTCAACAGCATTAAACGGTTCCAAGTGAGAGAATATTTGAATTAGACAGGTGTATAATCACGTTCTCCGCCAAGTGCAAGCTTTTGGACTATGGACTAACTAATATTCGATAGATGGGGACTAGATAAGTAGTGGCAAAGTCTTGCAGTATATCTCGAGACCAACGTTAACCCCAGTCTCATCTCGAGATATTTGTTCTTCAAGCCGTATTGCCGGGTCTTGTAGATAAGTCTCGAGACAAGAGCTTGAGACGGCTTGTCTCCTGGCCATCACTAAGTTTTTTATGTCTTAGCACATGTATCCTATCTATAGACATACACTAATATAATTCCATCTAACTACGCTCTGGTTCGGAGAGGCTGCAAAAGGCAGCATTTTTAAGGTGCGGGGCTGTATATTTGTCATTTGAGAAGTGAGGATTGATATTGGTCTCGTTGCCAGACCCATATGCTTTGTTATATCACAGTGCGCGTAGTATTACACCATAATCCACATCACGTCGAAACAGGGCAGGCAAGCAAGAGACTAGCTTGATTATAGATAACATGGCTACATGTATTACTTCGGTTTCTTGCACTTGGCGGGCTCTCTCAGGAATTCGTTATTTTTTCGAAAAATGTGCAAATGTATCATTGTACCTGCGGCACATATAACATCATATTCAAACACTATTGTACCTTCATAAATTACATGTACTTACATCCATTATACAAGACCGCCAAAACATACATATACAACCGACTCAAACATAAGTAGGCTCCAACGGCGGGTTCGCATTGATCACCAGCCTCTTCACAAAGTCATTAAACCAGCTACCTGCCTCCGGCGCCGGGACATCCGCATCCTCGCTGACACAGTTGACATCGAACCTCGCCGCGCTCGTGTCGCTAGTCCCGTCAGACTCGCCGCCGGGCTTGACCCACACAATGGCGTCCACAATGCACTCGCCCGTATCCGTCGTCGGACGCGTTCCGTACCTATAGAACATATCAGTATACCAGCTCTCACGCCGCAGTCACGGGAATATAGAACTTACCCTGCATCCTTAATATTACACCAGTGTCCACCTATCGTCCTGATATTCTGGGCTCCAGATCTCCCCTGATCAATGATGAACTTACTCGGCAGGCCCTCTGCCTCAAGATACGGCGCGAGCGCCTTCGCATACTTCAGCTCGCTCCAGTTCGGGTTATCCGGGCCGGGCCCGTAGATGACGTCGGGAGTGGTAGCGTTATAAGCATTATAATTTGACACATTCGTAGCAAAGCCCCTAATCTTTGCTCCGGATCCCGCGCCCTCCACAACCTGCTTAAACACCTTCGCAGCAGGCTCCAAGTTCGACGGCCACCCCAGCCAGTTGCTGTGCGCAGCGTCAATGTACAGCGCAATGTTATCGCGCTGCAGCTTCTGGATTGCGTACGAGAGGCCTGCGAGGTAGCCGGGTGCAGCAGTCACGCAAGCCGGTGCGGTAGCCAGGTTAGTGACAATATTACCGAGGGAATCGGGCTCAAGGACGATGGCATAGTCGAGGCGGTCGTAGGGGGGCGCCGAGAGCGCGGTGGCAATCGTGTCGATGAAGGTTTTGTATTTCTCGAGGCCGCCGTCGGCGAGGGAGAGTTCGCCGGCGGACGCTTTGGCGCTGCAGTCTCGGTCGGGGAGGTTGTAGATTACGAGCGGGAAGATCAGCTTCTTGTTGGGAGGGCGGCGTTGGGCGCGGATTGCCTCGTCGAGGCGTGCATTGAGGCCAGTGATCTGAGGAGGTGTTAGGATTTCTTTATACAATTATCTGATATATATATATATATATATATATATGAGAATGGAGGGCTTACATCGCCGAAGCTCGAAACCCACATGAAGGTGCTAACGCCCTGTACGGTTCTTGTGCGCGCTGCATTGAGCTCGTCGCCGTCGGCAAGGAAGCTCTGGATTGTCTCCTCGAGCTTTGTAGCGTAACCAGTGTTTGCGTACTGCACGCGGTTCAGGAAGGGGTTGTCGCTGTTGCAGCTTGGTTCTGTCGTCCTTTTCTCCGTCAGGAGGGGACTGCCGGCTACAAGAGCTTGCAGGGACGGGGAGAGTACAAGGAGCGCAGAGAGAAGAGGGAGATGCATCTTGGGGATTTAGACGGCAAACTTCGATTTTGCAGAGAAGATGCTGCTGGCTGAGGTGCTTGAGAGGATTGATGAGGCCTTTTTATAGTGGATATCTCTTAAAGATATTTAGGAAGCTCGTATTCAGTATATTGAGCTCACCCCATACTTAAACTATAGTACGGAGCGTAATTCCGGGGTTAAAGTCAATGGTACCTGGAAAGCTAATATATAAATCAGCTCAAAGTCATTTAGGAAACAACATGACGGATATCCGGGGATTTAGCAATACCAGCTGCCAGGAACAGATAATATATGATAAGCATACAGCTGCAGGGGAAGTAAATCCGGGGATATAAGAGCTTGTGGTACCTTCCACCGTGCCGGAAAACCAGGGCCGACAGGCCGTTTAATTTAAGCTTAAACGGAATAAAGTGCGGTCCAAGCATTGGCGTTCAAGCATTATATCCGCAGTTAGGTTTCTTCCTCATATTAGCTGTTGGTAATTTAGTTACATGATAGGTACAAGATCTTTCCAGATCTCGAGCTCGTCTCAGTACCTTCTTTGGATCGGGGATTGGGGGACTCGGGGCAAGGGACTAGGGTCGGAACTTTGCGTAGTAGGACTCCTGATAGCTTTGTGCCTGGATCATTGAAATAATTATAAACGCACAAAGTCTTGATGCCAATCCAGAAAACAAATCGGGTGATGAAGGAAAGTCAAAAAAGGTTCTGATGCACATCATGATATTGTATACATAGGGAGCCGTACAATAGAGGCTAAGGGTATCATAGTATCAGCATGACACTAAGCGAAAGCCATGTATTTAGCGAAGTCTCCTCTGAATCTCCTAATCGAACCATCATCTACGGCATTTCCATTGAAATACTACCTACACTTGAGAATCATATCGAAGCTTTTAGCCCAGATTGTGTTGTCTCGCTCACCGCCTAGACTTGTCTTGTCTTATCCCAAGTTTCAAGACAGTTTGTCTCATGCCTATCTCTATATCATGGTACATGTTCAATTCCATGGCCAGCGATATCGAGTTAAGCGGACCTAGGTGGTCATAGGGTATCACTCGGCTGCGTGATATCTTGTGTTTCGATGTTTTGTTTCTCGCTGAGTGATTGGTGATGGGGCTATTGGCGAGAGTAGGGCCAATGGATATGGATATCGGGAGAAGCCATCTACGCAGATGCTTGACTAACTGCTATTCAGAAGCTAGATGCACCGTATTAGTCGGTGTAACTGACCGTTCTCTGGATACGATAACTGGTGCGGTCCTACAAGGGTTTGAGAAAGCCTAGCGACGGTGATGGAATCTGCCTTTGTAGGGCATAAAAAGCACCGCCACTATTCCTGCACCCCCGTACTACTATGAACCAATCAAGGTGCTTTCGCCGGAATGATATGACTTCATCGGGCCATCTACAAAGTTTTTGCATTTGAGCGTTCTATTGGCCTTTGTTCCAGAGATATGATCGAAGCACTCGGAGTGTGGCCATGATTGCCGAGACTGAGTGTTCTTGAGGTCGTGCAGGGCTTGAGGAGACATTGGATCCATGGTGAGTTTATCGGTCATGGGTCATGGGGACTGTATCAAGATCCTGGGACCATATCTTGTCAGCTGCAGGTATGATAGGTCGCCCAGTGGTAGAAGAAAGTTCGAGAATTGTGTTTGGGAAATGATAATGAAGGTGAGATTTCATTTTACGTTTGGGTCACGTGAGTGGTTGGAGAGTGCTTCTCTATACCGAAATTTCACGCATTTTGATGCTTTCTCTTCCATGCAGGAGGAAGTGTGATTTGTTTCATTGATGATCACTCGGTTTTCTAGCTAAGGAGTAAGACCAAATATTCGGTTTCGTTACTAACGGGATTAGGAGGACTTCGCAGATTTTCTTTTCCAGAATTAGATTTCTCGTTATCCGATCTGTTTATCATCAATCCCGCGGCGGAACGTCATATGACGTCTAGCCTTGATCTTCACTGTATAAAGAGGTTGATGAACTCATGGGATATCACCCGGACCTCTAGGATCAAATATACTCAAGCAGGATCAGTGATCACTCTTTCCGGATTTATTCAACCCCCCTGGTTGGCCATGCATGCGTGAACCCACTGGTTATGAGTGAAATGTACCTAATTGGTACAAGTCACGCTCAGGAGACTCAAGATGCTGGCATACGTAGGACCGCGGGCCGGCAACTTGAGTCTCCAATAAGGCACTATCTGCCACTTCAGAAACTATCATTCACTAGGAAAAAAAAGTTTTCATGAAGGGGCAGCACGAGATATGTGCCGTCTATCACGTGTTGTTGGAGAGCCGACCACATCGAGTGATTGGGAATGACCAGTAACGATTTCCAAAAAGCAAAAGAAAAAAAAAAAAAATGGCGCCAAGTTTGTTGCTTAGGTTGTTGCATGTTCAACGTTTGTGGAGGCCGAACTTTTAGTCATTCGCTGTGGTATTGATAAAAACAAAGTTCCTCAATTACATCGGATTAACACTTTGCCGTCTTGCTGCTAACTTTCTCTCTTATTCTGGTAGAGTTTGGGAAGGCCTTTGCGTTTGCACTCAGTTACGCACTGGGGAAGGCAGGTAGGAAGGCAGGCTAGGACATACATACGTTCGGGATGCGAAACATTTCAGAACCTGGTAAATTAGCAGATTCTGAGACAGTTCCCAACCAACAACGCGGAGGTTTTACACTACAACCTAGCTTGATTACTCTGAATCATGAAGGACCTTTTCACGCCTTCCTTTTTGGAATCATACACTATTACAGCAAACATGTCAGCTCCTGTTAACCCACCCTAGGGAACGCACAACAACGCATAATACACACAAGTGGAGGAGACGAACCCAAGGCCTGCTGAGGCTTGGTCACACAATCGCCAGATCTGTAATCTTGAAGATCGCAACACAAGCCATAAGAGCCCTGTATCATGGGATTTATTTCATTCACCCGTAGTCCTCCTGAATACTTGTTTGAAGCGGTGTATTAGCCCTAGGCCGCCTGGCTGGTTCCTCTCTCATTTTTCTTTTTCTTCTTCTATTGGCCCACCAACCCCCCCCCCCCCCCAGTGTCCCTCGGAATTCAAGTAAACAGAGTTGACACGGGAAACGGGAGACCGGTGGGGATAGAATTTACGGACTGCCCGCGGCTGAGTCTGGAGGTTCTTATGTTTCATCTTCCGAACTCCTGTTCAGAATGCCCAGACAACGGCACTCACTGATTCTCCGCTCCGGGCATGCATACCCGACGGTCGTCCCGGCATCCGCGACGTGGTAGAGAGCGGCCAGTGAGAACAGAGCCTCTCGAGGTAACCAAGTCGTGACTTTCAACGACTCGGCGTCAGGCCGCAATATCTTCGAACTACATACGAATCCCGTCAGACATGTATTACCAAAATGGCATCGTAGCCCTTCGTATCTAACTCTTTTTGATAAGGACAGAGTGGTCTACTGACTGTAGTATGCCGTTAGGGAATCAACGATCATGGTGCCCTATGCATCGCTGTGGTCTATAAATACACAGGGAGTGCTTGAAATAGACACGGCTCCGCTTTTGGTGGTAGCCCTTTTTTTTCAACCCTTCGAAGAGTAACGGAGATCAACTTGGAAAGATTGGGGGCGGGGTTAGTACTTAGATCAATCAGATCTCTAAGATTCTATACGTCAATCTGGCCCAGGAAGAGCTTTGTCCGCGCACGTGAAAGTGCTTCGACCATCGCCTGGGCCAGTAATATGGCTTTCTACTGAATGAGTATTCCACCGATGGAGCACAAGCACTTGGTGTCCCCCTCTGGATAAAGCGGCAAAATCATTCGAAATGCACGCTTATCATTACATTTGACAATAGGGCTCCAGTCGAGGTCATATGATGCCTTGCTGCAAGCTTTCACTGGCTTCACGGATCATCACTCGCCGTTCCTCAAGCATTGAGAACACTGCCGTTACTCCCACAAAAACAACTATTGACGGCTACAGTATTGGAAAAATATATACCGCATTTTTTTCGTGCTATTAATTGCCGGTTTTTTTTTATGGTTTCAGAAAGGCTCACCATAGTTGCTGGCGGAATTTGAATGGAAAAGACTATTGTCCGCGACTACATTCCATGGTGCACCCAATTATAAGAAGAGACGCCTATCAGATTCCTTTACAGGGTGATCCATCTCGATATCATATATACCATTATCTTAGACCCGTGGATCTCCAATCAAGGGATGTGAAAGTTGAATGATTATGGTGAGTACCAGTTCGGGATATTATTCTAAGGGCATTTCAATCAGACAATTGGCGACACGCTACAGAAACGTTTTGAAACAAAATCTCCTGACGATCAATGAATATCTATTAGTTTACTGCCTGGCCACGTCCAAGTTGTACGTAAAGACAACCGACAATTGCGGTTCCGTTGGACCATGTAAATGTATCCGTGCCCCGAGGGTTCCTGGACGACACCATGAGTTCAATTCATTTGATAGACCACCTCTGTTGTACTCTCACCTGCATGATCGTAAACTGTATTTTTTTCACTCTCTGTATATTTTGTTGGCAGATTCGAGAACCCCATATGTCGACATGGTTTTAAATCGCTGGCATTAATGCACTTGGTATGTATTTGAGATACGATCTTTCACCGTTAAGAAAGCTAGCTACCTGACAAGCTTGGGATCCTGCGCCATATGTGGGGGATTAGCGCGGGTCAAACATCCCCAACCCACTAATTCAGCTGTACCGCAAATCCCGTAGTTGATTTTGCCACTATCTACTGGTTAGGCATTACCGAAAATCATCGGCAACTAAATGATGATGGATGTGGGGGATTTGCAGCTAAAGAAAATAGTAGCAAAAAAAATAAAAAAAAGGGAAAAAAAGGAAAAGAAAAGAACTGTTTTTTTCTAAACACGACGGAGCAAGCTTGGGGTTGAAATCTTTTGAGTGATTTTTCGGGCCACCAGTCTAGATGCTACTATGTACCTAACTCTTCACCGGGCTACCAAGCTATTCCGTATAACTGATGCCTCTATACGGCAACATTTCGGTGGGCCCGGCGGAGATGGGGTCACATGGACATCGGGAGCCTGAGGGCCTCCTTGCTCGCCCCTCAATGATCTGGACCGAGCTAACCTTTCACTCGCTGGATTATTTCAATTCATTCTTGCTGGATCCAGGGATGTAATGAGACTGACTGCAGCTTTGACTTGCTGTTAAAACAGCGCAATAATATTGTACACAAGATCAACTGGGCGGTCGATGCTTTTTTTTTCTACGCTCTATGATCATACGAGGCCTAGCGGACAAACCTGCTTTGCCCCACTCTCACACTGTAGAGTACTCCCCCATCCGGCGCGCGAGTCAAGTGGAATACGTAACTAGGAGACCTTCCATTGATGCGATTCAAGAGGTTACAAAAAGGATCCCCGGCTAGTGGGCAGCCTTGCAGTTATTCAAGTAAGCAGGTCTTCAGATTGACACCCGATGAACCAATTCCTAGTGAATCAGGTTCGGCGATGTCCCCTAGAGACTATGGCAACTAGCTACTTACCCCCAACCCAGATATGCGCCATTGGTCGCTGAGGATTTGATAAACCTGTACGCACATACTTATCATAAGAACTATTTGGTTTGACTGACATTGACCCCGCGTTTAGCGCTGTATTATGACAAGTCAATACGTAGGAGAACTCCTGGGCTAGGGAAAGGCGTGGCTTGATTGTGCCCGCGTTGATTGTAGTAAGAAACAGATCGTCCACGAGACGTTCACGATCTCTTGCAAAGTATGAGCTGTCCGCCTTCACGACAGGAGTACGTATCAAGGGATACTGATAGTACTTATCTGCATACTTCTGAACTACCCCGTGTGTATTCGGTTGCAGACTTTACAATTAATCATTGGTATTATCTGCCACGGGCCGAAACACCGCCGAGCACTCGGACAATGTCTGAGTATATTCGGTTCCTACTCTGAAACCTTTAAAGAATGGAAAGCAACATTGTTCTCTGACTTTGATTGCACAAGGAAAACTAGAGTATGAGAAGTCAAAGACTTGAGGTACGTATGTACATGTACCTGAAAGAATCGGGAAATCGGAGCTATATTGTTTAGTGCAGACTGAACAACGCATCGTTTTTACGGTCCGATGCGATTGGAAATAAATTTCTTGAAATTGAGCTCAAATTTCAAGTTTAACTATGCATTCTGCGCAGAACGGACGATCATTATAGGCTGTTTAGCAACCACATGTGAACGAAACGCTCAAAAGGAGCTTAATTTCAATTTTTCTCTTCGGCCTTGATTCTCTTCTTCCATGTCGGGATACTTTTTTCCCGTAAAAGATAAAAGCCGGTAGCCAATAGGTTCTTTGTGCAGTAATAGTAAGGGGGTTTAATGGGAGAAAGGCTGTCCATTCTGTCTGGTAATCTATACGGATAAATATCGTCATAATGTGACATATGGTAAATTAATTTCAAAGATTACCTCAGCACATATGAATTATGCGATTACATAAACTTTGAAAAATATTTTTTTTGTTCCCCAGTCGTATGCAGTTCTTAGTATGGAACATCGCATGTGCACAGTAGACGACGTTGGCAAGCATACATAGTGTGGGGAGCCTCTTAATGCACCCGCGGTGGAATTGATTGCCTTATGCGTGGATATTCAATCGATCTAAAATGGAGTGGGCGAAAATCTTGGTGCAAAATTTGCAAAGTGTTCACATAATGGTCATTTTTAGAAGTCACTTTTTTCTGCGTCAGGAAAAAGGAAAGAATAGGCTCAAATCCCACGTTAACGTCCCACGGGAGCGGACCGGAGCTTCCCGAACCCTAACCCAGCGATAGACCAGAGCCGCACCTTAAATTCCTTTGGTCAGTTACCCGGACGCGTTTTCAGCCCGTGCACAGAAAACCCTGATCCTGGATGAAACCTGCAACGTTGTACAAGTCATCGTTCGAGCAACCTCGAGATTCCTCCAAGCTTCGTTCATCTTGAATCCCACATACCTTACCGTCGAACCGCGGGGGCCACATAGGCCTTGCCTGAACGTTCATAGAACATAGGTTGTTAACATTCTTTCCGGGATACAAGAAGTTATTACAACCTTTATGTAGGTCTTATAACATGCTTATATCTGGCTTATCGGAGGCTTGTACTGGGAAAACAGCTTGTTGGGAACCTATGTTTGAAACATGGGTTAAGTAAGGTTTTGAAAGGGCTTGTGTGGTTCTGCGGTTCGAAGGTAGGGTAGCTACTAAGTGAATAGCGATGTCTGGAATCTTTAGCTATCCCCCATCGAGGATTCGAGAGATGATCGTCCCACCAGAAGGATTACGGGGGACGGGAAGGGGATGTTTGGGTTTGACAAACCTGCTATCTATAAAGTGGTACATGGCCAGTGGAATAGCTGACATTGCTCTTCGAAGCCTTCGGGTCCTGCTGTAGTTAAAGCGGTTTGCTTCGCTGATGTTGGTAAATTTTGCCGTGCCCAAAAAAATTGACCTCTATACACCTGTAGAATCTGAACCTCCTCGGGAATACTCGTCGAATTATCGGAGCTTGGAACGATCGAATGCCGTGGTTTTACCTGGAATTTGGGATATTTGTCCTCCTTTGCTGGTTTGTTTAGTCCCAAACCCTCGACATTGGAATTCAATTATGGGCTAGGCTAATGGATTCAAATGAGTAGAATTCTGGACGGATTACAAATTTCAAAGGGTCAAAATGCTGGAGAACCTGGAGATACCAGAAAGCTTACTGTAGCTACTTCTGTTGTAGGAGAGGATGCTGACAGGGATTTGTCGGTTCTGGACCTGATCCTAGGATCGCTGGCATTCAGGGTCGAGACTTTGTTGTCAATCAAGATGTTCATCTTGGTGAGATTTTCATAAAATGTTTTGTTTGAGATTTCCGGCGCGGAAAATCTAGCTAATAGTAAAAATCTTAAAAATAAGGCCTCGAACAAGTCAACGAGTGTATGCTGGACCACTGCCTCCAATCCCTGTAAAATAATTCGGCGATCTCCGGCCAATCCTGTCGTGCTGATAATCTTTAGCACGTATTCTATGCAAGACAGGCTAGAAACAGGAGTTCCAAAAACACCAACCAGTTCTCGATGGGATATGCATGTTTACATCATCCACAATCACGACGCTCACTCGGGTCAACAAGTCAAACATTTTTAACCCAAATTTTGCCCGAAGAGGTCAAAAGGTCTATGGAGTCCTGGGGTGGTTCGTAGATGCCACATCAATTTATTCCGAGATCGAGAGAAACCAGATTAATCGAAAATTATTCCGGGAGCCGGAACAACTGTTGCAGAACCGACGATACGAAAAAAATATACGACTTATTTCTCTAGAAACCTGGGACAGAAATCGATTTTCACTAGGGGGAGATATCAGCTAACCCTATTAGCCGGTCCCGAGAGCCTGGAACTTCTCCGATGCTCTGTCAGGACTTATGTCGCCTTGCCACTTCGATTACCGCTGTTTCTGCCACTGCACATACCATTGGCCAGTAATGTCAGGAATATTAAGAAAGGAAAGGGCCTGCAGTTGGATGGGGTTTTCGTGCGATATGTACGGTGGATTATCGCCGGTGCCGATGTGGAGGCCAGGGTGATCCGGATAGGTATACGTGGAGTGGGGACTTAAACTTCGTTTGGATCGAACAACTTGTTTCAATCGCCGGGACAACAACTTAACGAAGGGAGGCTCATCAGCCCTTTCAAATATTACACTCCTCAAACAAATGGAAACATTCCTCTTATGAAAGGATGGGGACGCTAGTGGTCGGTAAAGAATATCAGTGGTAGAAGCTTTGCTTAGCGAGCAGGCAGACACTGATGATCATGATCAGCTTTAGTGCTCCTCCATCAGGCGCTTGATCGCGCTTCGTTCAATCAGAATTCAACGTCCTTGAAGCTGCTGCACACGGGAGAAAATCGTTAAATATGCAAGTCGGAGAAGTCGCATCCATTTGCCGCCACGACCCCTCACGGGGACGCCCTTCTTTTTTTCTTAAACGTCTATATTCAATTCGCTGACATGCACATTGATATATGTATGTACATCGCCTTGCCGATGGAAGTACTCTGAACCCAAACCAACCTAGCCCAACACCAACGTTAATACATTGATAGTTAGTGCGCGCCTATCAGATCCCGGGTACCTACCACGCTGACGTTGTGTGCATATAGAACATGGGGGGCCGAAGAGGGGCAATAATAACAGGGCAATCATATCTCTCGGACCAGCGTTGCCTCCCCTCAACATGCGGAAGTTCTTCCCCGATCAAAATGGATGCGTTATGGATTGGCGAATCCCATAATAGCTCCATTTTCCTGGTGATACCTGCTCGTACAGCGCCATTTCGCCAAGGCCTTATTGGCTTTCCATATCACAAGTACGGAAAAGAAAATCAGCCCGCAAGTCGGGATAGAGGTTCGTTTCTCCTGCCATTCTATACGCCAGTTCGACTGTGCTATGGTCATCAGTCACCTGCCTCCCTTGACTTTGGACTCAATGATCGTGCGGATCAATGCATTACAGCGGATAGAGAAGCCTTTTCTACTGGAGAAGCGGTATCACACGTGTCTGGATACTGCTGCCATGCCCTGGTCAGGTGGTATATCATAATCTTTGGGAATGAAGCAACAGGTCATCGTAACAATACTTAGATACTATTGCCGTTGAGATGGTAGAACAGAGGGACTCTCTTGACCTTCAGGGGCAATTGATCAGCAAGAGATAGACATGATTGCCACGAAGCGGGTACATCGAGAAGGAGAAGAGAAGACCAACATTGGCCTGCATTATCCTTCCCCCGTTGTATGCTAAACATACTTACGTCTCATGTCGGTACGTACCCCATCAACGAACCAAAAATAGGAATCTTCATCTAGAACTCTTTACTTCAATGTCTCCAACAAGGACAATCATGAGAGAATATTCAAAGTCAGCAAAAAGGATACCGAGGCCGCATAATGGATAATGCTGGCTGGCTGAATACAAAGGTAAGAACCGGTACAATATTCTATCGTTGTGACTAGTAGGCTAATCCATGTAGCCAGGTACAAGAACATTTCGAGTCAGATACCATTCTACCCCCAGCTCCCTGCAGCGGAAGTTTTACATCTGTTCTCCGCGATGATGATGAGAAAAAACCTTCATTTAGGGTGGCGATCAAGGAAAGAAAAATGGGCATTCTAGACGGGCATCGTTCTTCAGCAGTATGCGCAGGTCCAATCTGTAGTATTTTTTGTACATCCCCCGCCGGGAGGCCCGAAGTTGACCTTCTATGCGTCTTACATAGAGCAAGCCTTTTATGATGTTTCGCTAGGATGTGTTTAGATGCCTCTATCTCGTTGGCAGTTGTTCAAAAACGGATTCCGCCTGATTGGGGTCCACAAAGGTTCACCGAGAAAAATTAAAGACGGAACAACTCATCGTTTCGATTATTTCGAACGCGACCGGTATGATACGATGGATGGGAACAACGACTACAACGAAGATGCAGGGTGGAAATTAGATGGCATGCAACGCGGGCCAGCAATTGAGTCCTGTTGTGGTTTGAGCCGTTTAGCAATTGCTGCTTAGAACGTCACTGCGCTGGGTGAAAGCTTCAATTATGCTTATCGCGTTTTGATAAGGGACTGTGGGAGGGGGTGTTCTGGCGATGCGGCGGGCGACTCTAGTTATTCTGCCTGTTTAACGGGCAAAATTTCTCGCATAAAGAGTAAGCAATGATTTCGGTTAACGTTTCTGCGGGTTCAATTTGTTTTGGTAACTGCGGAGATGCCGTCGGCTAGAGAAACTATTATGGGAAGACTACAAATTGATCTGCAAGTATATTGACACCTGTTTCTCCCAAGGAAGTAGGGCCTGCAATAAGAAACAGGCATTGCGCAGAAGTTTCCAATCTGATGCGATCGCCTTGAATAAATCGAGAGATGATCGATGAACACCGAGAAAGCGGCGACCGGTAGGTTTTCAAGGTGGTTTGAACATTATCGGATGAACCAAAACTCTGCGAAACAACGGAGATCATTATTGACCCGAGTCACCAAACACAATTCCCCGGTTGCAACACACAACCCTTGGAGGAAAAAGCTATCATGGATAACGTTAACCTTTTCAACGGAACAAAAAAAAATCGCCCATTACTACTTTCGGTCGTTTCGGTCGTAAGCGCATTCTGTCATTGCTGAATCTGTCGGATTCACGCTCAAAAATCTGATTCAAAAGAGTTTGACTTATTCATCACACAATCTGCAATTGACGTGGTAGATCTTGCGGCGAGGCAGAAGTACATTGTTGGCGTTGAGGCGTTCCGTGGCAATTGTAACTGATGCAGTGCTGTTGTTCCTGGTGGTGGACAAGTGAGCGGTGAAAGTGGCGGCGAAGGCTTTTCGATTATCGATGGACATTGCCATTCTTGGACGCGGCTGAGACTGTTTTGTGGGTGAAGTTTAGAACAATTGCAACTCCCGTCAGGATCCCAGGTCTACATGGCGATCGAGGACCAGTGCCTGGTGTATAGTATAGTAAGAAAAAATAAAAATAAAAGTAAAAAAAGAACCGAATTTTGTCGTCGTTCGGGTCAAGTCAAAGGGACGGGACTTTGATACCAGCTTTCGCAGCTTTCGGTGGTTATTACAGTGCAACGGCCCGTCATGAGTCAACTGCAAGTCAAGCGAAAGCCCTCTGTCCTCCATACCGTCAACCTAGGCCACGTCCACCAGTCTCCATGCTCTCCCATTATGCACTTCCAGCTTGGATTAAAATGGTAGTTTTTAGAATCTCACGATGACCGTGACCGCTGCCTTTATGAAGCTTTACTATACTGAGAATTGGAGTTGGATACTGCGGGGCGGCGGAATACGTGGCAATGGAGGAACAGGAACACCACCGTGAGGAGAGCTTGAGCAACAGCCGTACTCAATTGCAAATTCCAATTTAAAGGGGATGAAATAACTAGACGTAGGCATGATGCGTCTTTAATTCTAAAGTGAACATGTCCTCGTTCATTGTTTGGCTGGATACAATTGCCATTGCCATTGACACTTCTTGCTGATTGATATTTCTACTAAATTCCTTTTTCATTTTATTTTTTTTCTTTGCGTGATGATTTTCGCGCAATTAAATTGGTCTAAAAGCAAAGAAAGACATATAGGGATGAAAATAAAAATAAAAAATACATCACGAGTTTACCTAACCGACAACTTGCTGCACAGTTGTGGTGGTTATGCTATGCTAGTACTCTGGTTGTGGTACTGGAGGTACAGTAGGATGTATGTACGGTGGTGGTCGTACTGGACTGGTATAACCTAGCTGCTAGCTACATTCAGATATAATTAACAGTACTCTGGAGCAGGTGCTTTACATGGCAACAGCACGTAGTGACGCCGCAGAGAAAATTCGGGCCTCGTGAGAGGTTCATGCGCATATAGAAGAAATGCTCAAATGCAAAACGCTAAAAGAAACTAGAAGAGGAGGCGAGGGTCAGGGAGAGGAGGAGAATTGAGAAAAAAAGCTTGGACCATGCTTTTCCCCATGGAGACGACAGCCTGCGGGCCCGTTACCCGGCCTTTCCGGGCAGGTGCTCCATCACCAAAAATAAAACGTTGTACTCCTTTTTTTGTACGAAGAGTTTTAACGTAGGCTTGTAATTCAAGTAGGGGAGGGAGGAGACTTCCTCTCTTTCGATCCCATGCCAGCGCACCCTGCAGTCCGGTCGTCACTGCATCTCTTCCTGCCTCCTGCACATCTCATTCCCTAATAGCCCTCTCGGTCAAAATTGGGTGGTTCATCTAAACCCCCACCCCTACACTTTTTCTTACCCCACAGTACAACGAATGGAAGAAGGACACGGATTAGCTCAAGATAGTCTCGTTTCAGCGCTTCAACGAAGCCCATTCGACACAACGTGTTTTTTTGGAGGGGCTATGGATGTGAACGTGCAGTGGTGTGGTGGGGTTCACATCCGGCTGGATGGGATTGAGACGAAAGAAGGGTAGCAAAAGGAAAGTGACAACAAACACCGCTTCGGGGTGAGGGGGTAAGGGTAGAGACTCGTATGGTATGTGGTAGGTAGAGCTGTATGTAGACCGTAGGTACAGTAAAGAGGAAGAGGGAGGGGGGGTAAGAAGTCGGCTAAGAGATGAGCGGGATCGATGATAGGACTGCGTTGGAAGCAGATCCGATGGGATGGAATGACCAGGGGTTGTTTGGTGCAATGGGGAGGGGAAGTGGCTAACTGCAAAGTGAGGGGTGCTTGAGAGTACTAGAGGGGCGCTTTTACACGCGTGGATTGACACCTCTGGTTCTGGTTTTTACTTTTTTTTTTTTATTCTTTTTTTTTTTTGTTACCAATTCCTCGAACTGGTGACCTTTTTCTTGTAGTCCGCTCATTCACCCTCTTTTCCATGTACATGTACATGTACCGGTACATTACCTACTTCCACTTTTTTCACTCTCATCGGGGAAGATCCAAAAGAAGGGTAAAGTGAATTTTCCCACTAAAAAAAATGATAAAAAATAAATAAATAAAATTCAAAATACCCTACAGGCCACGACCGTTGATAACAACGGCAATTATAGGGAACGCTTATAGCCATATCACAAAAGTTGACGTAGGTAGAGCAGAGAGTCCTAGTACATAGATGTATACTATCTTGATTCTTCAATCGAAAAAAATAAAAAATAAAAAATAAATGGTGGGTGGGGAAGATTGGGGATAAACTAGATACGTGTAATTGGAGGAAAAAAATTATACGAATTCATGATTTGCTGGTTGGCAGCTTGTGGGTAGCTTGTGGGTAGCTTAGGTAGGCAGGTAGGAGAGAGGTGGTGTTGAGCAAAGAGGGCTCCGTGCACCTACACCTACATTCAACAGAGATCAAAAAAAGTATCACCACGATGGCGACCATCCATCACCTCACCCATCATCATTAACCATCAACCGACGAACCAGCTTATCCTCACCAACAAGCTGTCAGCAGCTACAGCAGCGGCATCAGAATCAGTACCACTACCACCGTAACCACGAAATCCACATCCACCAACTACCTCAAGCTCCTCCGTCGTTAGACCACCCACGCACCAGGACCTAGAGAGCTGCAGGTCTCTCGCTTCTCATCCCTCAACACCAGTCATAGCCATTCTTCTCGTCCTGGCCATTCTTCAACGCATTATCACCGACAGACAGCACCACCCCTTCCCAGGCCGGGCCTTTCCTTTTGCGCAATTGCTTGCTGCTGCTCATGCTGCCTGCTGCTGCTGCTGCTGCCTGCTGCCTGCCCATGCTCCTGCTGCTTGATCATGATGCACCTACTCCTCCTTCTCCTTAGCCAGACGTCGGCCAGTCGGGAATATAACGCAGTATCCAATCCGAGGTTGCATGAACTCCTCCTACCACAATTCAATTTCTCTGGTTCTCCTCACCCCTAGTGCCTACAGTTAGCTAGCAGTAGCAGTACTCGCAGCAGTTCGTCGTTTCTTGCCTGCGTGCTTAGCTGCTGTCCTTGTCGACAACGACCTCCACCTCCTCCCAACGTTCCCCTTCCTTCTTCTATGCCTGTCCTTCTCTCGACCCCTCCTTCCATCCGGTCTTCGCGCAACAAGCAGCAGCATGAGCATTAGCAGGACGTCCTGATCTTCCCATATGCACCCATCCTTCCCTGAGCGTCATCAAGCCCTGCAGCATCCCTCCTCTCCACCTCCACGTCTGCATTAACAAAGCCCACGCCTCCGCTCGAGATCGTCACATCCGTGCGGAAACAAATAAGTACAGCCTCGGAGAAACTGTTTGGGTTCCGATTTCTGCAGTACATCTCTTTGTTCAGGCTTTCCTTCTTGCCTTTTCGGCCCCTCATCATCATCAATTGATTACCATTCAAGTTACCCCCTCCTCTCCCCACTTCCTTGCCTCCCACGCTCCCACTCAGTTATTCGGAGAACTTGGTTTTTCCGGTTGCAATTGCAAAAAAATAAAAAGTAAAAATAAGTATTGTCAATTGCCTCAATCGTTACATACCTACCTACATACCTTCGGCGCTGGTCGGCCTAAGTTGGGGGTTATTTTTATTTTTACTTTTCGCCCATCCAGTGAGATTTAGTGATCCAGGAAAAGCTAGACATTAGTGGAGGTTAGTTTGTGGGTGGTGGCCGATTTTTTCCTCAAAGGTGTGTGTGAGTGAGAAGACTGTGAGAGGGCCTAGTGTGTGCTTGCATCTGTTAGCTTGCTTGTGCAGTCTAGTTGCTTACCTTACTTGTCTCTCTTACCCTCCTCCTCATACCCTCCTCTTCGTCCCTCTTCCCAGTAGCCCTCCTCTTCCCCTCCTCTGTTCTTTTCATTTAATTCTCCGATCCCTCCCCTCCCTTTCATGCTTTCGTGCTTCTCATCTCATACAACCTTCATCCAGCCTGGACCTCATCAAGCTAATCTGATGCCCCCAGCTCAATTCATTACAAGTCAATCAACAAACATGTCTGCCTCGACCTCTCCCTCACCCTTTCCTACCTCCGACTCTCGAATTCAGTTACCTCCATCAACACAGCCAACCTTCCAGCTCCTTCATACCAATACAACAGACGTCCCCACATGCAAGAATTCGCCCCTTCCAAGTATCCCCTTCCATCAGTGGGTTCATACTTTCCAGAGTCGTACTCCAATTCCGGTTCTGCGGTATCATCAGCAGCATCTACACCTGCTGGAGCTGGATTTCCAGTAGATGCCTCAGCTGAGCCAACACGCAGGAGTACCAGGTCTACAGTTGTGAAGAAGCATTCCATTTCTTCCCTTCTATCTTCACCGGATTCAGTTTCTAGTGATAGTTCTGGAGTTTCTTCTCCATCGGCATTGTGGTCTGAAGAGAACTCACCCACCACTGCTTCAACTAGCACTCGCAGTAGCTCTGTAGCTAGCAGCCCATGGACACCGGCAGGACAGACAAACTACAGAGATTCATTTGAGGTTGATTTGTCAAGGAGGAGGGGCAGCCTCTTGGGATTCGATCACATGGACATGATGACCGACCAGAAGGTTGGTGCAGATATCAACGGTGCAAAAAGGAAGAGCAGGAGGTTAGTCCAACTTGGTACTCTATAATAATGAGGAGCACCGGAAAACTGATTTGTGGCTGCAGTTCTCCTAGAACTGCTACCAACTCTACTAGATGTGGCGGAGATGAATATGATGTTCTTGGAAGGAAAAAGTAAGCAATATATCTTCTTTATATTGAATTCACAATACTAATCCATTGTATTTAGGCCCAAGACTCCTCGCACCCCCATGTCATGGGACCCTCAAGATGATATCTTGCTTAAGCAATTGAAGGAGGAGCAGAGACTTGGCTGGAAGGAAATCGCAACACACTGTAGGTCTTGAATATTAGATTATCAAATATCATATCACTAACACATTCGCAGTTCCCGGTAGAACTTCCCATGCTTGCCAGTTCCGCTGGCGCCGTCTTGCTTCTGGTACTCTGAAGTACTACCATGGACACCGCCGGCCTCCCGTTGTTACAACCACTTCGTCTTCTTTCGCAAGCGAGATGGCATCCACAGCGGCCGCCGGAACTATCTCTAACAGCCCAAAGTTACTAATGAGCTGTATCAACAACCAATCCCCGGCTCCTGTGACCAATCCCAGCACACCACAGATGCATCACTCGATCCCCCCATCGATGCCCCATTATGCGCTTTCTACATCGGAATCTCCGATTCGCCAAAATCACTACTACCAATCATTGGCTCAACAGAGACCATGGGGTCATTCCGGCTATTCAGTGCCAATGCACACGTATCAAGCTCCACAACTTCCATCCCCGGCTTCGTCCTCTCCCCGATACCTCGAGCCCTGGACACCCGCTGAGGATGAAATCTTGGTAAACAAAGGCCTTTCATTCAATGAAGTCAATATTCTTCTCAGTAAAAGAAGTGAGAAAGAGATTTGCGACCGTATGGCCAAGTTGAGGTCCGAGAAATGGCTAGAGCCTATGCAACACAACTCGGGCTTGTCCCCGGTTGCCGACTCAAGAATGCTTCGCCAGAACTGGGATGGGCAATGAACGGCCAATGACCACAACCCATACTTTTCTTTTTTAATTAGAGCAACAACTCACCTGCCCCGGATCGATTGGTGTTTTGGTATATTAAAGGTCCATCAATGTCTTATGCTTACACGATTTTCTTTGTTTCTACTCTATTTTTATGGATACTTTTTGGGGGTTAAGGAGCATTTGCGGGTTTGGGTTTATTTCTGTTTTTTCTTTCTTTTACTGGAACATCTGGATTCGGTGTCTCTTCTCCCTCCTCGGTGTTTTCTTTCCGGTTTGGCGCTATTATATTACATGATTAACGTGGAAATCGAGAGGATTGGCCACTACGATAAATTCTTTGGCGGAATTCGCTGCTTTCGAGATTTTGTTTTACATTCCTTTTATTTTTCTGGTGTTGCTTGGAGTTTGGTTGTTATTTGGTTATGGTGTTTCGAGACCTTTCAGCGGACAGGCGCCGTGAAGTACAAATCTTATGAAGTTACGAACGATATGTCTAAAATTGGGAAAGAGGTTTTTTACGACTTGGATGAAATCTGGGGGAGTTACAGTAGATGATAGATTTTGAAAGCTTATCATTTGGTCTTTTTTTTTGGACTTTCATTTGTCTTTAGCAGGATGTTACCTCGGTTGGGTATATTGGGCGATACGGGGGTTATTACCGGAGTACTTTACATCTATTTTTCTATCTCTTAGTATTGGAAAGACTTTTTGTCCGAATTTACTTTACATTACTTTGCGATAAATCTCTGGCTGCATAGACGATATCAGTTGGAAGCTACAGGTTATTCTACTGAACCGATTTTTTTTTTCTTCACTAGTGCACGGATAAAACAATTACTTTGTGGGCTCATTAATTCTTCCAGACATATGCACGAATCCTGATTATGCACCCATACTTCACTCCCATGGGGCAGACAACCCATGGACGTCCGGCTGCGATGAGATAGACATCCATTCCACCAACGGGCAATGACGAATAAGCCATACCACCGGCTAGTACCCAAAGCACTATATCTTATCTGTAAAGGTGGGCTTTATATTGAGTCGATATTACCATTATTATCATCGCCTCCACCGTCGGCACCACGACCACTATCACTATATCACATCATTAACCATTTGAGTATATCTAGCCCACAGACCCTACCTTACCCTACCCCCATCCACCCTACCTACGTACTCTTTCCACCTACATACATATGTACATACAGGATACAGGATACAGTGGCGGCCTGAGTGTAGAATTGAGCAGCAGGAGCAGCAGGATCACTGGCAGGAGCAGCAGCAGTCTACAGTAGTCACGCGCACTTCGGGGGCACTTGAGCGGAGAGATGTGCGTTAGCTTATACATACATGCCTAGTATCTTATGTACAATTACCGTGCCGAAAACTGCCCTCGACGTATGCACATACATGGATGGATGGGGTGGTGGAAGGGGGGGGGGGGGGCGGACGGGGAGACGGTGAGGGGGTGAGGAGGAAGAGGAGGGGGCGGCGTTACTCTAGCCAGCTAGGTATACTAGTAGCGGGATCTAGAGTTAGTAGCACTGAGGTTACTGTACTGCTGCCGCTAGGTAGGCGGGTATGGGGACCGCATATGGTTGCTCTTGCGCTAGAGTAGGGATACATGTATGTGTCTATCAGGGTTGGGAAAGTATGGTATGGGTAGCCGCCTACTGGTGTATGTGTACTTGGCCCGTGTCGGAATCAATTCGATAAAGAGGGAAAAATTTCCTTTTCCCTTTTTGGTACGTTTGCAATTGTGGGGTAGGGTTAATATTGGTGGTTTTTTTTCTTTTCTTTTCCTTTCCTCTTATAATTAAGGTTTTAGTTAGTGAGGTTGTGTTAAGATATATATTATGGGGTTATGGGTTATGATTACATTAGTTAATCAGTTACATAAGTTTGCCATTGGCCATGGGGGAAGGGGTGAACTATTAACTGAGTGCTCTGCATGATCAATACCGGGCTCTACTATTACATACGCGCGCTTCTTCCACTTGAGAGCTCATCTACTCTATCCAGTACCAAAAAAATCCCCTCCAGGCCGAGTGCTCTACCACGGCTTAAGGTTATTTCTTTTTTTTTCTCTCCAACTCTTCTATCTCCTCTTTTTCTTTCTTTCTTCTTTTGCCCTATTCTGGATATCTAGCACCAAGATGCACGGCGGAGGATTACGGGGGGGTCCGTGTTGTGCGTAGAGGCAGGCAACGAACATACGTGTCGATATAATTTTTTTTTATTCTTCCTTGCCTCTTCAAAGTCCTACACGACATAGCATGGCATGGAATCTAGTCGAGCTAGTGCTGCTACTCAATTCGATGTAGTTAGCCCGAAAATGATTGCATAAAACGGGCATTGGACGTAGACGCGAATCAAGATGAGGGACATGGTCAATGCCCAATGTCTTGCCGTGGAGATGGAAAATTACTCGAATTCGTTCCTAAATGTAATTCTTTTTTGGACTGAGGAAAAGCATGATGACCTATTCCTCCTCGCCCCGGAAGAGCACTTGTGCGGACTGTACGAGCCTATTATGAACATAGTTCTGGTATGAGATGTACACACTCTGCACATCTGAGAACCGGGCTAAGAAAAGAAAATCAGCTAGCCTACACCGCGAACTAACAAGGCCGAGATGGATTCCCATCCCTACATCGAGATTCAGACTGGTCTATCAATCCATCCCATCGCGATGATGGATGGATGGCCTCGTCACCTCACCTCAGTCATCAGCACGAGGTTCTTTTTTCCATGGGTTTGAAGTTATGTAGTTGGCTAACCATGGCTGGCTGACTGGCTGTAAAAGGGTTGTTTCGTCTCATTTAATTTGGTCCAGCTTACTTACTATCTCAGTAGGTATCCCTAGCGAAAGAAAGAAATTCGGAGAAATGACTGTCTTCATCGAATCCGACGTTGGGGTGGTGTGCCAGCTAAGCTAACCACAACCACAACCGCCATCATCGACATGAGAGGCTGAGACATGCTAGTAGCTACCTTACACTAGCTTCCAAGTCAATTCAACTCCACGAAAGCCAAGGATTTCCAGAAAGAAAAGGTCTTCTGGAAGCCAGCCTTGCTCCGAAATCTATTTCTGTAACGCCGTGACCCAAGTAGGTCAGTGCTCTAGGGTACACACAGGAGTGTAAGTTGTGTCGGCAGTTCGCTCGGATGGACTGATGAAAAATATGAGACATGCATTGCATACTGATGTGTTTCTGCCAACTGTTGGGCAGAAGCTAGGGCGTATCACATCTGCCAGAGCAGAGCTGTACCTACTCACAAGCTTATTATTCTCCTCCATCCTGAAACGTAAAATACGGAGTAGGAAATAGTAATAAGTGGAGTAATATCAGTCGGTTGTGTTTCTTACTATTGTGTGGTAGTTAAAGCTCACCGTGACAGGGGCAAAAATGTAGAGGAGTGACGACATTGACCTGATGAGAGTATCGTGATGGTTAGAAAGAGTGTAGGTACATTAGTAGGTAGATGCAGGGAGAGGAAACAGGCAAAGTAAGGAAGGCTGTTCTACTCTAAACCCCGACGCAGGTGGTACATAAGTGTTTAAGAGAAAGAAAGCTTGTTCTTTCAAACCTAGCCTTATCCGTCCTAAGCCGTCCAACATTGAGTATTTACCGAGTGATATACCGTGCAGCCGTGATCCGTGAGAAGAGTGAAGTCTCTCATCTTCTCCATGTCGGTAGCTCGCACAAATCAGGCGACAAAGAATTTTCCGGAGACGATCTTTTTTAATTTTGACGTCGGAACAGTAGCCTACCATACGGCTAGGAAAAGGAAGGGAATGTGCACTTTCTGTTTATGTGCATTACGGGTTATCACAGCTTCGCGCGGTGAGAACAACATCATACTCTACCGAAACCCCCACGAGTGTACCTACATACGTACAGTTAGTTGTTCGTTGCAATGAATAATAAGTCTATGACGTTTACAAGTTGAACGATCGACCTAGGCCATAATGATATGATGTGATACTGTTCTGAAAAAAACGGGGTACTTACGTGAAGCCAAAGTGAAGAAAAACATGTATGTGCATGTGTTGATGGCTCAAACCTAACCCTGGCTGAAGGTGGGTGTTGCTGTCCCATGGATGGGGGCCGGGCGTCTAACGAGAGGATGAGAGGGTGCGCCAAGAAAGCCACAATACCATCGCCCATTTAGGGATGGACGTTGCGACTGAAGCTGCACGATCTCGAAATAAGACAGTCGCCTAAATCATCATCGTCACTCATTCATTCATCGTTATTAGTAATCCTTTGGGTTCTCTTGGTTCACCAAATTTCTCCGAGGCGCCTTGACCAAGAATTCGAATTCTCGTGAATTAGTCCTCATGTCTATTCTTTTTGTCAGCTGTTTCGTTCCGGAAGTTGCCGTATAGTAGGCTCTTGATTGCTGTTATCGATAGAGCGATAGAGACACATGGCTGCGGCTCTGCTACTGCTCTGGCAGGGGTTTACGTGTCGACCGATGACGATACCCTCTGGTCCGTGCGTGCGAAAACTTTTTTTGGTGCCCTTTCCCTTGGTGACGCGGGATGTATGTACATTGATGATCATTGACCAAGTCATCAGGGGTAACAAAGTTTTGAAACTCTACACTGGAAGCGTTTACTTAAGGTGTGAAATTACGATTAAAAACAGGCGAGATGATCGGTACCTTGCATGTCTGTTTCTGTCGCGGGTGGTGCGTGCCTGAGGAATGAATGACGCCGGTACCGGTGTTATTCGGAATTGATGGCGGATCCTGCCTGCAGTATGCGCAGGAAAAAGTTCGTCAGTCAAGGGTTACTGTCAAAGCTATTATGCTCGCTGTGTGTACATACCGCGGAAATTTATTTTCTCGCGAGAAAGCGGCTGATGTATGTACCTACATGCCACATTGAAATATTCGGTGTAGAAAATTTTTCTCAGATGTAAGTTTTGGGGGGGTAAGACGTCGCGTTTTGAATGTGTTGAGGATTGTAACCTCGCTAACGATCGCAACGGTGAGGT